GTTGTCAGGAGTGGGATTCGAACCCACGCCTACAAGAGTAGACTGCGACCTGAACGCAGCGCCTTAGACCGCTCGGCCATCCTGACTTGCACATGATTACAGGCTAAATATCTGGAGAGAAAGGGATCATATTTAGCAAAGCTTTGAACATTCTCGTTTCCAGAGTCGCCTGTCTCTCTTAGCCGACGAATGAATGTTATACATTAGAACTATGTTAATAGCACCCCATCTTTAGCCCGTAAAGTTGTGATCGTATTAAAGGAGTCCTTAACATACCACAATGACTGAATATCAAAGCCTTTTCACCGGGCTAAAAATGTGGTCGTAATTAGAGGGGTGTCATATTATGGACGTAAGGCGGGACTCCTCCACAAGTATTTACCATACTTGCCTAACCACATCCACAAGCTTTTTGTCATTGTAACTTGCAGTCAGTGATTCCTCGTGCGTTGATCCTAAGGCATAGCTGTATAGGTGATACCTCAACTTGTTGAGCTTATTTTAACCTTAGAAACGGAAAAAAAATTTGATCACAACGTGCTACATTCTGATTGCCTCTCATCAATTTTCAGTGTACTTTTCTTGACTATTTTGCTATGTCCACATGCTAGCTACAAACGTTATTCACCGTTCGGGTGACAAATCAAGCGAGCCTCATTTGTTCTAACGACCACGCACCACATTTTCTATGCCAAACAAAATCACGATTATCACTTTTCCAAGCCAGTCCGCAAGGGAAACAACATTTGAATATTTCATAGCATTCTTTCAACATCTGAAAAAAATTTTAGCGTGATCATTTTGATCGCAAAACTTGAAGAGCAATTGAAAATTTTCATTTCAACACATCAAAGAGAACAAACGGCTGAACAAAATGTAGAAAAAAGAAGATTCCTTTGACGGCGTCCGGCTTCATGTGTTTTGTTTTAACAAAGAGCAGGTTGTTGTCAGGAGTGGGATTCGAACCCACGCCTACAAGAGTAGACTGCGACCTGAACGCAGCGCCTTAGACCGCTCAGCCATCCTGACTTGCACATGATTACAAGTTGAATCTCTTGTCGGAAAGGAATGATATTTAGCAAAGCTTTAGACATTGTCGTTCCCAGAGCCACCTGTCCCGCTTAGCCGGCGAAGCCTTAGCACGAGGAAAAGGTGGCTCTGAAGACAGAGGATTTGATTGGCTAAACTAAGAAACTTGAACTAAGATTTTCATTAATTCGACGCTTGTTTTCTTCCAGAAATTATCCACTGGTTAATCTTCAACTAAAATCGTTCGCTTACAGAACCTACTAACGGACCTGGAAAGATATTAAAAAGGAAAGGTAAAATTTTAACCCAAGTGAAATGGCATTCCCATGTTTTGTCATGAAGAACTTCACTGATAATTATCCAGGTTAGTCAGTTGTAATTTTCCTGAAGGTCTTTCGGTGCCGTGTTTGAACGGTTTTACTTATATGTCAGCCAAATGATATTTTTTGGAAGAAAACCAGCGTTGAATTAAGGAATATTTTTTCCAAAAATTTTGCCATTTTCCCCTCGTGCTAAGGCTCCGACGGCTAAGAAAGACAGGAGGATCTGGGGACGAGAATGAACTTTGGAGTTCAGTTTCTTCCCGTAATTTAATCCTTTGTTAATTTTCAATTTTAGAAGCACGATGTTTATTCACCAGGAAACTTGATAGTTCATTTCTTATAGTGGAGAGTGGTTTGGTGCGAATTTATAAATTGTCTTGGTCAGGAGCCTGTCTTGGTATAACTTCATCTCCTTCATCAGGAACTGATTTTATGATCCATCGGTGCATGAATCAGTGTTACTGTAAACACTATATGAAGCTTAACCTATGTCAGTAACGAGGTCAGCTGTATAGTATTTATAGGCTTAATAGCAAAAGATGAAATTTCATTACGTAATGCCGGTTTAAGGTTCAATGATGACTCAAAATGTCGTAAATCAAGTCCACTTCTCAGCTGACTGTGTTGTTGGATGAAATGTGTAATTTTTATTTCTATTGTTCCTAAGCAACGACAGTTCAATATGCACTGTAATTTATGAACGTCATCCTCGAAACTTCCTCATCATGAACCCCAGGTCATGGACGGTTTATCTTGAAAGATTTAACTTGCGCTTCTTTTGCTATGCGTCACAGTCATAACAATCCTCCCTTTTGTCATTACATTTTACTGTAGTACACGTTTTTTGAGGTTTCTGCTGATTTGAAGGTAACTTCGTGCATCAATGGTATCACCAAAAATTACTCGAGAAAACGTGACGGACCACCTTTAACGCCTTTCGTTTCCTATGTCTCCAGAGGCTTCCTGTAAGTAAATTTCACCGGGACACCTCATTACATAAATGCAGTGCGTTTGTTCCTGCACGCAGTTTTCAAAACAGTGTGAATTGCAACACTTTTCTTTTTCAGACGTTTCATTCAGCACTTGTAGAAGCACATGTGGACCCGGATGAGAACGTGCATGTATTTGTCTATGAGAGCAGGAAATATAGATACACACACTCCTTTGGAGGGGCCTTATCTGCCACGTTAACATTACAAGGATGGTTGTTTTAGGACGAGAGGTTATCGCAGTGTTGTCAGTTGCCAAAATAAACTGCGTCAGGGGCAAGCTGCATTTTTTTTCAGGGTTTTCTTTTTGGAACATCCTAAGTCGCAAACATTACTGCTATGATCTCACTCGTGATCTCTGTTGTCTTAAGATTTTCTCCCCCAGTTCAAATGCATGACGTTCCATATATTCACTTGCATAAGGATGAGTGAGTGAATAACATTCCTAGTAAGCAAACACTGTGACCACAGACAATGAGACATGAATTTCGTGCAAGCGGAAATATATCAAAGTTTGTACACTTTCCGAGCACTAATCAAAGACTTTGCCAAGATATCTAGACTTTGCTGCACGGTTTAAAGTCCACCACATCACAATCACAGTATTTTATTCAAAAGATACAAATAATATGTATAAAAAAAATATCTCTTGAAATGGAAATCATGAGGTTAGCCCTGTACGTGACAATTCCCACAGCGGACGTTTTATAAGGAAGAAGAAACAGAGATAAGTGACAGAATTTCTACAAATCATCAGCCCTTCCTTCTTTCTGTTACCGGTAGAATACCCGGGGGGAGAGATACTTCCTTATATGAGCCGTATAGGTATGTGAGGCTCCAGAATATGGTTTTTGAGTGGTTTTGGTCGTAAAAGGGTATAGATTTCGACCATTTTGGTCTGAAATACTTATAGGGTATGTTTTTCACTCTGGGTTGGCATTGGATATTTTGTGTACAAGTAACTTTTTTCCGCACCAACATTAGCAAATTTGTAGCCCTTCTCAAATGTTTGCGCAAATTAGAAACAATTATGGTTAAGTGCGGGCATAATTATTACAGCCGTATACTAATTTTAGAGGTCGGGGTATCAATTTTTTGCTAAGTTCTGAAATAGGGGGTTTTTTCCAGGAAAATCACAGATTTTGGTCTGAAATAGGGCACAGGTTTCAAGGTTCGTTCCACACACCTGACCCCACAAAAAACTCTGAGATAACCCCCCTACCCGGTTGGGGGGGTGTAGAATCAAGTAGCAGTTTTCTTCAAAAGGAGGAATCAAAAGAAACAGGTTAGCAGTTTGTGTTCATTTGGGGAAGGATTCAAACTAAACCAAACGAACAAAACTTAAAGTTGGAGCACCGCAATAAATGTGATTGTGATGTGCGCTACAGTGCTTCCGTGTTGATCGGTTTGTACAAGGAATATACCGGGTGGCACTCACCAAAACACCAACCGCACCAGACACCACAAATGTAAATTTGCCGCAGCACAAAAGCTGCATACCTGACCCTTCACCCCGTTGAAGCGCTCTGGCTTTGTTCAAGCAGCTGAAACAGGAAGTTGTAATTATAATAGCCTGAGCTGTGTTAGTGTGATTCAAACTCTTGCCTATATTTTGTTTTGCATTTGTTATCGTTTATTTTAGTTTGTACGTGTCCTTGTTTTCTTTTTCCGTGCTTCTTTTGAATACATGAACTTGGCAATGCGCTAAAAAATGCCAAAGGTTGAAGCTATTTATGTTTGTTTCCTTCAACTGTAAGTTCATAGACCGTGACATTGTGATGTCACGTAAGCGCACTCTTGTGAAGCAAGTAATCACTAATTGCCAGATTTCCTTGAGACTTCGCCAACAAATATTTCCTAAACCTTTTCTCTGGTTTGAGCAAAGTTTGAACCGGCATCACGTATAAATTAATGGAAACAAAGATAACTTTAGGGCTATTGATGAAGTTGACATTTTTGTGAGCCCACGGACAGTTTGAACGGAACACTTAAGCTAGGGAAAACCCCTGCTGTCGCCATGGTGATGAAAAGTTATTCTCTTTTTAAATGTTGTTTATTGTTTTCAAGCTGGATTGCATAACTTTCAGAAGCTTTTGAGAGGAACGAACCAATCATAAAGTGTCATTCTCACTCGACAGTTGCCAATCACATTCTGAATGAATTTGGTTGGTTCGTTAGACCGCCTGTAGCATTACTTCGTATCGCACAATTGTTTGTCCGCCTAAATAACAACAGATATATGGACGTCAAATTTTCTCAAGGAAAGACTTATCCAAAGCTTGATCCAACGGAGGACTAGATTGAACTGATGGCAAAATTCTAACAATCGCAGCAAATTGGGCTGTTTATAGTTCACTACAAGGTTCGGTCAAGTCATGGAAAAATCTGAGTTGAAAAGCCTGGATTCTTTGAATACAGGGGCTGAGATAGACAGCAAGCTGACCAGCCTACTGAATTTTTTTATGGCACAAAATTTGCCTTGGAAAGTGGGTAAGTAGCGAAGAATAATTGTTTTAATTACCCAATATGTATAGGAACGTAGCTTTTTCCGCAAAAAAACACGTCTGGATATTATTATGCAAAAATCATTTGCCTACAAGCTGGTGTGATAATCGCGTAATCACTGTGATAGCCAGACGGCAGGAATGGGAGGCAGGGGTATAAATTGTAACTACTTTGCAAGAGTGTACTTTTAGCGATGAATTTTACCGCAGCAAACGTTGAAAATAGTGTATAAATTCTTGGGTGAGGAAAATGTCACTATTGTTGTAAAGAAAGAACAGACTGCAAAATGGCTAAGAACTATTAAATTTGGTGTCAATAAACATTACATGGGTCAGAGATCAAACGGAACAAAATGACAAGTTTAAGGAAAACTCGGTGTATCTGTCCACTAGCAAACAAATCGATTCTAAATGAACGAAATTTATCGGTGTAAGAGTTTCTAGGCGCGATAGAATTGGACAAGGAAGGCTGTATTTCTCAGATGAAATGTTTTACGCCTCACTTCCTTGTGCTTCAGCGCGACAGGAAGTTATAAGTCACTTGACATTGTGTGAATATATCACGTCGTCTTTAACAAGCGTATGCAAATCTTGTCATGACTGTGTCTCGAGTTTCTTCCGCGTCACAAGCGAGTTGCCAAATGTTTGTTTTATTTAAGCAACCAAAACGTTTGACACACTAAATTATTTGTCAGAGCCAAAAAAATCCACTCTATTTTGCGCAATATCATCGCCATTTTTTCTAAGGCGAACTTCCAAGTTAGTGCGAGCAGATACTATGTGAGTCTTCAAATACATTAGCTCCATCTAGACATTTCCATAATAATCGCCCCACACATTCCACTTTTGACTGCGTTCTGTGCTACCAAAACACCCCAAATACCTAGGAGGAGAATTTAACCATGGGCATTGCCACGGTCATAATTTTTTCATGGGCATTGCCTCAGTCATAATTTTGTCATGCGCATATCCTCAGTCAAAATTTTTTTCTGGCTGAACACAACGTCAAGCACGTATTCCGCCACAAGGACAGGAGACATCAAAGCGGACACGGGTCACAATGGTGTAGAACCCCGCTCTTTCGAACTCGCAGGGGAGAAGAAAAATAGTTCGAAATAGCTGGTAGTAAATGAATGAAGGGTAAATCTAAGGGAAATGTTTTTAGTTCGAAGTAACGAGAAACTCGAAATAACCGAGTTCGAATTAGCAGGGTCCAATGGCTTGTAATTGGAATTCTGTGGGCAAAGTAGTGTCATGATAAGCGTGCGGAAGAAGACGCCAGATGATCTTATAATTTCGCTGAGTCATTTCTATTCTTTGCGTGTTCTGCAGACTTAGGAAATGAGGAAGTAAAATTAGATTCCGGCTCTAAAACAGAGCCCCAGTCTCCAACCAGTTGTTGTCAATCGATATTTGAGAAGCTGGAACTAGAGGAACCTGGTACTGCGTTACACATCACGGTAACGTTCCCGGATCTGAAGGAGCTCTATTTCAAGACGCAGTCACGTGTTAATCGCCATTCCAGGCAGCGAGTGGTCAAAGGCAAGGTTAGAGTTTGTGTTGCCACCGGGGGCCATCAAGTGCAAACTATTGAAGTTTACGTGGAAAGGACTCCTGATGCAGCACATCTGGTCGGAGATAGATGTGGAAGGGTTCACCTCAAGGCTCAGCCTGGACCGTACTTTTCGAGTAAGGTAAAGAAAAATAGCGTGACATGAGAGTGTCGAGATTGCGTGAGCCGACCCCTGGCTCAGTTTATATAGTTCCTCGCCTGGTAATATGCTTTTCCTAAACTTTTAATGCAAAGTACAATTTGGTTTACTTCATCGTCAGAAGTGCTTTGTAATACTGCTAATAGGCTGTGACGCTCTTGAAACGGCTTGACTACCGGACATTTCTCCTGAGAGCTCCCATGAGAGACCTTTGGATCGGTATGCGAGTACGAGAGCGACCACAAATGATCGAGATTCAAGCCATTTACTTTCCCAGAGCCCTCAATCTTCCCTTTTGCTAACCAGTTGAATAAGAGACTAACGAGGCGAGATTGATGTGAAAAGTGATAATCAAGAGCATAAGCACAAGGTTTGAAATGCCTTCCTGCTACTCAGTCTCGAAATCCTACTTTGATCGGCTAAAGGGCTGATATTCCTGAGTATGTACTGAGTAACTGAATCAAATGAAGCCCTTGGAAGTCTCCCTGTGAGCGCGGTTACTTACCACCCCTCTGAAACTATTCTAATGTGCCAGCATGCTATTTGTGTTATTACTGGACAAGTTAGGTAAACAGAAATAAGGCCGATCGCAGTCATCTCTGTTCGCGACGGAACGTGACGAGCGTGAAGTGCGAACGAACCGAGTTGAAGTTGGTAACTAATGTAAGTTCCGAGCAGCCCAAGGTAAGTCACTGCCTAGTCGAAAATCACTTTTCCTCGTCTCGTTTTCTTATCTCTTGTCGTTTGAACCGTGAGAACTCATAGAGTAATTTAGAGTAAAGACGTGAAGGGGGACTGTGCGTATTTTAATTCAACGGGTCTTATCAAGGGTTTTAAAGGTGCGATTATCTCTAATCAGAATGTTTTCTTCACAGTACTTCTTTACGGTTGATTTGGACTCCGTTTACGAATCTCCCAGTAAGCGTGGCGTTCCAGTCTACAAGCTATCCACAGTGGACTCAGAGAGACGAAACAACTTTCGTTTGGTGGTGGTTGTGATCCTGATAGGTGATGCTCGCAGTAAAGAGTTCATTAGCCCCCCGTTTCGCCTTCGTAGCAGACTCAATGGCAGGTTTAGAAGCATGTCACTGTAGTTTAACTTAGCGAAGGCTATTCAATCTCTTGCTTCATTGATGAACGACGATTTAGGTTTTCCAGTAAAAAAATTATAGACACTGATTTGTTCGGTGAAATTTTGTTCTCCGTTCTTTTGATTGAAGAATGCCTAACTGCGGCAAAAATAAATGCTTCTGGAAAAGACAACTGATTAAAGGGACAAGAGTATATTAAAAGGAGATAATTGAGCAGAGAAAAATCATTATGTTGTATTGCCTAAGAGAGAGAGAGAGGGTGTTATATTTTTACATTTAACAAAAATCTGACAGTAGATTTAAAAAATCTGGTGATACTACAGTTGCGAAATCCCATAAAGCCAAATAAAAAAAATAAAAAAAAAATAAGATAAAAAAGAAAAAACCAAAATTAAATTAAAAAAGCAAAAGAATATCAAAGGATAAGGTTGTGTGAACGGATCCTTCTTTTATTTAGCTGGAGGTCGGCCATCAATGAATCAATTTCAACCAATTTATGGCCAAAGAGCAGGTGAACAATGGATGGCTCTGAATATTGTCTCGTTCAAAAATCAGCAGTTTAAATGCCATTTCTCATTTGCCTCAAACTGATAGATACCACGGTCTTGGCAAATTGTCGAAAAAAAGCTCTACAAATTTCCAATCACAGAATAGGACGAACTAACCAGTTACGTGATTACAAACAGAAGTCGTCTTACAAACAGAAGTCGTGATTACAGACAGAAGCCTGACTTTTTTCATGTTGCATGATTTGCATCAAGCAACTGACACATCAGTTGCTTGATGGAAATCATGGAACATGAGAAATAATTACTATCTCCAATTATTCATTTACTGAGACAAACTAACGTAGAAGTTACTTAGGATCCCACAAACTCGGTTCCTAGCTCGAAGAGTAGGTGTTGTCTCATTTACTTTATTGGTCCGGCTATATCCTCTAGTCTCCACAGTGCTTATCCCTTATTCCCTAATTGTAAAGCTTGCTTGCTCAGCCAGATTCTCAATGCAACTTGAGATTGAATATTATCACATACGTGTGAGTCAAGAAACTTGTTTGTCTTACCGGTTCACAGCGACTGGTTGAGGTGTTACGTTAAATATTATATATCTTGATATTCAGGTATGGGCCTGGTTTCAAACGATCGAACTTTTCAGACCATCTTTTTATGCGCAAATGCAAACGAGCGAGAGTCAATCGGAATAAAGCCAACGAAGGTATCGGCGAATTTTGGAAAGCCATCGAATTGAAGCCTTCGAGAAGCCATTGAAACTCCTAGATAAGAAATCTTCAATGCGTGGAGTTCACGCACTTGTTTGCCACACGCAATTGTTACATCTCTTAGACAGTTATGGCACAATAATCTCTATTTCAAGTTACCCCAGGTCTTAATCACCGGAAATTGTAACTTCACTAGTTCACTGTGCTCCGCCTTTTGCGATACGCAAAATATGGGGTAATTGCGGCGGCGACCCCCCAAAAAACTCCGGGAATAGTCCTTGGCTTCCAAAATGGTATTAAAAGTTACAAATTGGCCCTGGAAACTTTGCCTTTCTTTGTTGGAACATTTTATATATCACGGTTTAAAACATTCTAGATTGAACGCCGCCCTTCATCATTACTCGTTTATTGTTTCGATATCGAAGTGCTAAAAGGTTTAGCGCATGAAAGGTTCGACATTTGAATCTAAGGCCCACTACTCAGATTACTGCTGTGCAGTATTATACACTAAGTCAAATGCTAGCTAATCAAAAATGCTTTACTCATAGCTAAGAATGCCAGAGTTAGTAATTACTGCCTGGCTAGGCCTTTAAAATAGAGCAAAGTAGGAAAAAAAGATTTTAGGACACGTTTAAGCTTTTAGTGCAATATTATACACCAAGTCATATGTAAGTTAGCGAAAAGTACCCAGCACAGTTAACAATAAGAAAGTAATTAGCTAGGCCAATAGAGCCAAGTAGGAATTGACACCCAAAAAAAATTTTTTTGGAAGACAAGTTACAGCTTTTAGTTTCTGACAGTTAGGTTTATTCCCCATTTTCTTATCGTGTTAAACAGCTCATCTATCATGATCTATAGTCCGCATTTCTCGTGTCCCCGAGATATCTACTGATTTCCCTGAGCGGTGAGCCTGGCTCGCAGTCTTCGAGAAGCTCGCGACAACTTACATAGGATTAGCTTGATACATCAAATAATCTTCCCTGTAAGTGCATCACATGCCGGGCTTGTGGAAAATCACCATAATTGCACGTTTATTATGAGTTTTGGTTATCTTATCAATGATGTCAGTACCTGACCTGTAGTCATGCAACCTAAAATTTAAGTTGAAATATTTATAATCAGTTTTATTTTTATAAGCTTATATTTAAGGTGATTGTGTTCGCTATCATGATTATCTCCCCATAACAAGAGTCTTCTCTGTCGCATTGGTTAAGTTGTCTCTAGCATTCGCTCCCTAGGACCTCAAAAGAAAAACCGAGAAACTATTATTAAGCAGATGGTCTGTGGCTTACATTCGATCAGGAGCAATGCTATAGTTTACTAACAAGTCTGGTCACCAAGTGCTACAGAGAACGGTTACGTGCGATCTCTTGATTGTTTGATTTTCCGATATTTTTTCTTGCAATTTCCATATTTCGAAGTGAAAATAAATGACATCAGCTTAGACTGAACTCACATCCCCACCTGAGAGGGGGGTCGAGAGAAAAACATTTTTTCAAGTACGATTTTTTCACGTTGTAAGTTAGGTCATATGATATGATTGCCATTTTTTATCAGAAGTTTGAAAGTATTTTCATAAACAAAAAATCCGGTATGGTTATGATCGGTAAAATACAAAATTCGAGGCAACAATTTTTTTTTGTTTTTACTACGAAGGTACCTTGAGGATACCGAAAATTTAGTTGCATTTTTCAGGAATAACAGTTAGATAGGAGTCAATATTTTTCTACAAACGTATTCATTTTAAAAACGAGGCCGCTGTCGCTCTCTTAGATAGCAAGCTTAAAATAATATCAAAGTTTGCATACTATAAGGCTAAAACCAAGCTTATTAGATAATCATACTATACATTTTGATATCTTTGTTTGTTTGGCTTTAGTAGCATTGTACTGAGTTACTATTGTACGACAAATAGTAGGCATTAGTGGTAGTGCACGAGTGCACGAATATATATATACCGCGTACATTATATAACCAAAAAACACTCAACCTTTTGAAGTATAGTTGTAGCAGACTCTGTTTCACTTGAACACTAACCTGACAGAAGTCCCTAGTTCTTGCTAGAACACCTTGCTACAATTAGAAATGAACTATGATGAACGATGAGCTATGAAGGAATGAGCTATACGAAGAACGAATATTACTGACCAGTGGTCTAACGAAAAAAATAGCTTCTCTTTGTCAGTGAATAGATGGTCTACATGCTTAGTTACTTCTGTTTTATTCAGTTATTTCCTACCCTGCAAGGAACGGATCAAGAGTCTGTTATAGCCGTTTGAATTTCTATTTTTATATACAAGCAACTTGGTTTGCCTAGCAATATAGTTTTTATAAATAAAGCTGATTTCAATACCAGTTGCCTTCATGTGGTTGAATCATTGGTTCTAGTTGTGTAGTATTATTCGCGGAACCAAGCAGCAAGTCGGACAGTCGGTCCGTCTGTGTGTCCACCAGTCAGTCAGTCAGTCAATCAGTCAACTTCGTCAGCTAGTCAGCCATTCAGTTAGCCAGTCAGTCTGTCCGTCCGTCAGTCAACTTCGTCAGTCAGTCAGTCAGTCAGTTAGCCAGTTAGTCAGTCAGACAGCCAGTCAACCAGTCAGACAGCCAGTCAGTCAGTCAGGGGTAAACTTCGTCAGTCAGTTAGACAGGGGTAAACTTCGTCAGTCAGCCAGCCAGTCAGTCAGTCAGTCGGCCAGTCAGCCAGTTTGTCAGTCAGACAGCCTAATTCCCAGACGGTCTGAATGAGAGCAAGCGACCTCGGACTGTTTAAGAATCAAGTTGCCAGTCAGAACAATATCTACTGGTTGACTACATAAACTTAACTGCTTCATACCTTCTCTTCAGTTTGAAATGAAATGCTTCCTTTATATTGGCACGATTATATAGCTCTTTCTTTCTTTTTGATCTCTGTCTACGGCATGAACTGAAAATGACCTAGGATAGAATCCTATCGTCACCTTTTATCAAAGAAGTAAGAGAGTGAATCCAGAAAAACAAAGTAGAAAATTTCATATTCCAGTGTAATTTTGAAAATCGGGTCATATTTACCGCAAAGGATAGTAACTTGCTCCCGACGTTCAGTTAGTTACAAACTAAGCAGAGGAGGCCGAGAGGGTTAGAGGCCAACCCCTAGGTTTTTTTCTACGCACTGTTTAATCCCGATCTCGCAGCTCCACAAGTAAATGAACGCCTGGGGCAAACTAAAAAGGCACAAAAAGAGAAACACTTCGCGTTGTTTCTCGTTTTGACTCTAACAACGAAGGCAACTGAATTGCAGTTGTCTGGGTGACATAGCCTGCAGAACAGGGCGCGATACACATTCGACATACCCTCCCTCCCTCCCTCCCTCCCTCCCTCCCCCCGCCCTACAGCTCATCCCTGGAAAGGAGGACGTTCTTTTTTCCCTTCTCCATTTCGAAAAAAGAAAAGGCGCCTGATCGCAGGTTAGTGGTTGCGTTACACGCTCTGCCCTCCTAACCCGCCTGTTCTGGGCAAGAAAAAGAAAATACAGGAAATTTTTTAAAAACTCACCCCTCCCCCGTCAACCTTAGTCAACACTCTCTTGATTTCTCCTGCGACGTGGTCAGCGGTTGACAACATCAGCTCTTTACCCAAAGACGCGAAATTTCCTTTCGGATAAGTTGTTTGTTGATGGAAGCTGTTCCCAGTAAAAGGTAGCTCTCGCTGTTGCCTGAGCAAGGCAAATGTCCAAGTTTCAAGAGCTTAAAAGGGAGCTTAGTATCCTTGAGAAAACCTTTGGCTCGCGGCATGAACATTTCCGCGTTGAAGCCAACGGTTTGGATGAAGTGACATACCGATTCCTCACTCCAAATGGCGAACATGTAGTCCACTGCAATATCTATGTAAGTCAAGTTTGATTTCGTGTTACTGTTGACAAACCCGTTTACGATATTAATTACGGAAAGGATGATAATTTTTTTTCAATTTTAATGTCTCTTGCGTCAAACAGGAATCTTATCCTAACCCGCCTCCGATGTGGTTCGCCGAGAGCGAAGATGCGAAAATCACTCAAATAGTCGAGTTCTTGAGTAGTATTGAGCCTTCTGCGCCCAATTTGGTAAGATGGTTTTGCTTTCCTTTTGCTTCTACATGACTTTCCTTTGTAATACACGAATAGTCGGCATTGTATAGCTGACATTCGCTCCTCTTATCTGGCAGCTTCTTCGCTCGACAAAGCACTTGGTCAAGGAGTTATACACATGGCAAAATCTCCCTATACCATCACACGTAGACAACCTAGATCTTGTGCAGCTTATACACGTAAGTTAACTTATAATTTTGCTGTTTATTTGTTTTGAACATTTTGTCAAATGCAGAGGGGTGATTTTATGTCGTACATGCACAGTACAGCTGACTCCCAATGTTTCTCTTCACTTTCTTCGCCACTTTCGATTCGTTCAGTTCTCATCGGAATATCGTATTATTTTCCCTACACCGAAATGTAATGGGCTTTTAACCGGAAGTGGGACACTTAATTCGGATATAGTTAGCTTAGAAAATTCATGAAAATTCAAGCATTTGTATTGTCGACGCGAGCAAGAAGCTTACGTCTTTTGCAAGTGCGGTGAATGAACTGGGAAAGCCCTGAATGGAAATTTGAGAGCAGTGACTGCGTGATTGGGCGTTTTATAACTAATACATGCATAAAATTTTTAAGTTGTTTGCATGGATAGATTTTATTGCCTGAAATGACACAGCATTATAGATGTGCCTAGCTAGTAATGCCCCACTTGTTGTGTGCACTACTGGCTCACACGTACAAAAACTACTGAAATATGACAAAAACTGAAAGATTTGTATAATATCGTATAAAAAATTATACTGCTTGCTTTTTTTCGGAAGTTTGTGTACATGTACATAGTGCTACAAATAAGATAAATGTTTTTTTTTTTTTTTCAAATGATTTATGTATGGATAAAATAGGAACACCAACATCCCTCCCCCAGGCAGAACACAAGCATTTGAATAGTAGTTGTTCCCTGGGGGTTGGGAATTTGAAATTGGTGGTTGATAATGGGGTGAGAATTTGACCCAATATGAGAGGGGTAGTGGGGATTTGAAGAAGTTGCCTCGAAATCAGGGTAAAACGGGAAAACTTGAAGGGACCACACAGTTCCGTGTAACATTGTGGCTGAAAAAAAAAAGCCTTGGAAAGCTTTCTGCATGTGAAAGGTTGTTAACTTTTATATTTTAATGTTATATAATCAATACTTGGAACACAATGGAAGTTCAAAGCAGGTGTTTGGTGCTGAATGTAGGGGCATTTGATCGCCTAGTATGACCTGTATATAGGGCATTTGTACACCATTTGGCCTGGAGAATGGGAATTTAACTGGCTGAATATTCTAAATGTCTAATGCCCAAGGTGTTGCCTGCGGGGATGTTCAAGTTTCAAATTGACTGATACATTAGAGTACTGACTGGTTCAGTTTTCTGGTTTTCAAGAACTACATATTAGGGCTGGCCAGTAGCCAGCCAATCTTTGGCCATCTATACTACTTTCATCTCACTTTATCGTTAATTTTGACAAGAACATTTAAATAATGAAAAGATCCTACAGAAATATTTCAGTAAGACATCCTTTTCAAACATCTGAATCAAAGTGATGATGCATTTCAAAACTTTTAAATGTGTTTACCTTTCCTTCCTGCAATAGAAGCAGGATTGAAGAGGGTTATGAAATGCCTGAGACATTCACAGAACAGGATCTCAGGCTTTCACATGTGACAAAATGGCATCCATGCCAGCATTTCCAAGCATCTAAATTTCAAAATGTTCTTAGGGGTATATGCCCCAAGACCTGTTTAGCAGGTTCACACCTTCAGTGCTCAAAGAGTAGCATACTGCTTACTTTCAAATTGGAGATGTGTTATTGACAGCCTTGAAATACACACAAGAGAAGGATGCATTGACCTCAGTTTACATTCATTGAGTGCACCCTGGAAATAGAGAACAAAGACAGGGGCTGGCATCCAGGCAAACTGACTGGCTGTGAGGACAATTTTGCCTGCCTGGTTTGACCATGTTGAAGAAAGTTCTTCTTATAAAGAGTTTGAAAACCAGGTGTTGTCTTCCTGCATCACAAAAACCCTCAGGCAACAATGTTGCAGGGGTTTGAACTGCTTTCAAAAACCTGCAACTTGATACAAGGGAATATAGTCATTTATTTCAGCAGACAAGCAAGACAAGGATTATTTTTTAGAGAATGTAATTGGTGTGAAACATTTTACAGAATGATGGTGAATTTAAATTCAAACCGAGGGAACATAAATCTCTCCCTCCCCTCCTCCCAGGAGGCTCTCATTGGGTGCATTCATGGTGAGAATGTTTACTGTGGGCTCCTGTTTACTTTTCAAAGTCTAGCATTAACATCTTCCACGAAAGGTAGCCAGGCTTGGCAGAGGTTGTTTTCTACATGGACATGTATGTCCTTACAAGAAATCATTTCAGGTTATTTTGCAAGGTTGCCATCTGACATGTGATTGCTTTGGTTTTACTTTTACAACAATTTAATAATGGAGAACTGCTTGCCAGTAATACGCATAAGTGTTGCCTTGTGTAGACATGCAATGTATAAGCTTCTTGTACATTGTAGTAGTCCTCTCCAGACAGTTAGTTAATCATCATTTTTTCCTGTAGGAAGATGTTGAGATGAAAGACTCCACTACATCACAAGAAGATGAGGAAAGTGAGGATGAAGGCTTAGAAGAGGTATGTTACCAGACAAAATACAGTAATTGAAAGGCCGAGTGCAAGAACGTCCCCTAGATTTTTTGGCCATTTTGAAAGTGCTCAAAAATAGCTGAATTTTAGCATGTTGGCTTCGTTTTACCTGAGAAACATTGCTCTGAAATTTTTTTGGCTGGGGCGCTCTTCGTTCTCAAGAAATAACATATGCAAAAAACTCAGTTTTCCAAGCGGCATCTTTTGGAGATCTTTTGTTGAACAAAAGACAAAAAAAACCTTATTATTTTGTTGAACAGCAAACAGGCAGACTGTTCATAGTGTATTCCACTGAATCTTAGCTGTCTTAAAGTCAAAGGAAAATAGTGTATAGAGCGGAAATCTGGGAACGGATTGTTTACATCGGTTATTGTGACGTGAACACAACACGTGAATCGATCGAGCAGCAAACGAAATACCATCGAACAAAAAAGAGATGTCCCGCATTAGANTATAACAAAGGATTGGCTCTGTTTATCATAACAAAGGCCTGGCTTCGTTTATTTGAAGGACTCGGCGGGAAAAGGGCGTCAGGTATTTTAATCAAAAGTAAACTTTGTTGAAAACACTCCAAATTTCACATGCAGTTTCATTCAGGTATGTTAAGCAATGTCCCATAGTTTTCGTGTTAAAGTTCACTTCGTTCTCGAGATATTGCGTATGCAATAAACCACTCGGTTTTTCCAACCTGTGTGCCTTTTTTGCATACATTATTTCTCGAGAATGAAAAGCAACCCAGCAAAAAAAACTTCAGAGCAATGTTTCTCAGGTGAAACGAAGCCCACATGCCAAAATTCAGCTAGTTTTGAGCACTTTCAAAAATGGCCGAAAAATCTAGGGGACGTTCTTGCATACAGCCTTTCAATTATGCCATCTATTAACAGGCATTTTTGTCTTAATGTTGTAAGACATTATTGCAAGACATACACCTACATGTAGGTTCAGCCCCTTGGGCAGCAGCTTTATTGTTTGAGCAGTAAATTTCGGCTCCGTTTTTTTCTTTTTTTTTTTTTTTTTTTGAAATGAGACACGTACATGTAGCCCAGTAACATAGCCAGCTAAAATGATGGAGTAGACTGTGACTTTCACTGCAGCTGGCTACTTCTTTGCAACCCTGGTTAAGTAACAAACAGGCCTGGTTTCTACGTGATAGCATTCTGCAGTATACCACAGAGAATAGAGCATGACTGTCAAACACAGAAAGGTTTACCGGTACTAGTTTTTTTTGACTTGTTATTGTGCAATACTGTTTGTGATGATACATTGCAATCATCTGCCACTGTATTAGAAAGAAGGCTTAAGGACGAAAGAAAAAGCAATCATGGTGTCTTTCAAATCTTCTAATTTGGCATTCTTTGAATATTGAATGCCTCAAGAAGTGTACGTCTTTTTTTTTTTACGTTCTGCATGAAGAAGAAATTAATATCACAAGATGATGTAAGTAGGTGACAATGGCACCCATTTTACTTGATCGTCTTTTCAAGAGGTACACTGTACATGTATTGCTGTGGTAAGTAGAAGGTGGTAGCTAAAAGTCTGTGGGCTATCAAGTCATAAACAATATGGTGTATTTTTCACCTGAAATATAACAATGATTTCTTTTTATTTTGTAAATCAGGGTCAAAATGACAGTGAGGATTCTGATAACTATGAAATGGAAGAAGATACAGGGTAAGTGTACAGTACAAACTGAAGATTGTTTAATAGCTGTACTGTGTAAAGTTCCTCTGCTTAATAGACTTTTGTCTAGACTTGACAGCATGGTGAAAAAGTTCCAGAATTAAATTGATTGTAAGTTTTTACATCCTGTGATACATAATCAGGGTCAATATACATTGTAACTGCATTATTTTTCTTGTTAATTTGGTGAGTAGACAGGATTCTAACAGGGATCTGCAGGAGATTGGTGCAGCAAACTATGCAGTGTTAGAGAGGATACGAGTAAACAGAAGGGAAGACCACCTTAAGGTATGTGAATCAATAGCTCTTGACGTCATGATGCATACTGCTGTTTTAGAAATTGTTTTCAGAAATTAATGCAAACTAAAGATAATTTCCAACAACGGTGAAAGTGATGAAATGATATGAGTCCGATTGCGACAAATGTACCAATCATGAAATTTGAAAGAGCTTAAACCATGATGATTGTATTGTTAAATGTTGCAGTGTAAATGTATGTTTGTATTAAATACAGACTGTAAGTAGTAAGATGAAGTGACCAAAAATATAATTGTAAAGCTTCCATGTGTCAAGCTACACAATCTTTTCATGTCAGAACAAAGCATCCATTTGTATTTGGTCAACGATGTATTTTTCTATTAATAATTTTGAAATATAGTTGATACTGTTGCATTCTGAACGTGTCACAAACACAATCATCAAAACTTTGTGTAATTGTTGCTTCAAGCATTGGCAGTAATTTCAGAAAAAGAGAAATCTTTCATTGTTTCTAGAGAGTTTTTTATCATTCATCATGTCTGTACTCCCAGTACAGCCTTGATGTGGTCACCTATAACTTGTGTTTCCAGAGCTTTTCTTGTTTTTTTTCCCACTTGTAAACTGCTCTACCCTGACTAAAGGAACTTGTAAAATGTAATGCAATGTATTCTTAATTGATTTATTGCAGGGAACAGTGTGTGGATCAATCCAAGCAACCGATAGGTTAATGAAGGAACTGAGGGATGTGTATAGGTCTGACAGTTTCAAGAGAGGTAAGTGCATGATGTCCAGAACATGTAGTCAGTTAGTTCAAGGAAAGTGAAAAAAAAAAAAGTTGTCAAATCCAAGTGTCTAGATGATGTGATGAGACTGTACCATTGGTACCTTGGGTATTCAGTGGTGCCAAAGAATGTCAATTAAATGCAAGGGACTAAACCAAAGATCTACATTCACAAGTAACTTCTTTTCTATTGAAACATAAACATACATGTACAGATTACAGGGCTCGAAATTGTGACTCACTGGTCGCCAATGCGACCAAAAATTGAGCACTGGCAACTAAATTTTCAGAACTGGTCGCCAGCTGGCGACTTGTGATTTGTATGATAAGTAAAGATGACCACAACACAACTTTTGTTTTTAAATCTTTAGATAGGGAAATTATTCGGATCTGGTAGCTAGTAGACAATTCACCTTTCCGTCCCCACTAAAATAATGTCTGAATATTACAAGGAAATCGTAAAAATTACTTCGACACATCGACACTGCGTTTACCAAGTGCCATATTGTTTCAGCGGCCTCTTCCAAAACTGAGATCACAGGCACACTGCAACACCGTGCGCTTTTCAGTTGACGCGAGAACAATGGCAGCAGATATGATCAGTTGTGTAGGAGCCTAGACCAAGCACAGTGTTGTTTATCAGCGGCGAAAGGCGACGAAAATAAANAATACTTAACACTGAAAAGAGGTTGTTTAATTCACAGAATGACACTTGACACATGATACAAGCTACAATTCTGACACCTCTAAAATTGGTTTTAATTCTTTGATACAAATATACATCATATTCATGATGTTCTTACCCTAATGCTGTCTATTTGTATTTCCTGGATTTCTGTGTCTGTATCTCCCTGCAGTGACGACAGCCAGCTATCCACCTCGTCACTTTCAAGTCCTAGGTCTACATAGACTATCTTCTCTGCCAACATACTAAATGAATTGTCAAAACAGAATGTGTAAATCCCATCCTCAGCTGCCTGGATAGAATGAACTTCATCTGTTTTCTTTTCGTCATCCACCAAAAGTGCTTTACTAGGAGCTACTACTTGAAAGGTAATGTCCATTTCTCCACCTCCTTCAATCACCTGTTAGATAAAAGAGGTACAAAATTAACAATCGAAATAGATTCCATGCTGCCATGCACCTGTTTGAACAGCAATGAATCTCAGACGACATCAAAATGTAGTAAGAACAAAAAAAGTGGCACACGAGGTGATAACCAAGCTTTAGATTTCCTTAGTACCATGTCTTCTGTGATCAGTTACTGCAGAGACGCACTGCAACATAGAATCTATCAGTCAAAATGCAAGAATAAATATAACAAAGTCTTGAGAAATCAGAGGCTCTGTGAGCAAACTATGAATTGAATGTTAGTTTTATCTTTTAACAGGAAATTGCCATTGATCTGAAGAAGGAGATAAAACTATTTGTTCTGTTTCCCTAATCTGTTGCTCATTGGAAAAAAGGACTTTCTTTTAGTTTATTGAATTTTAGTGAAGTTTTAAATCCCTTGACAAACAAGTATTTCACTAAATTATATTTACATTATATTTAAATTTAAGCAGTTCTATTGTAATTGAATACACGTACTGTCAAAGCTTCTCCACGAGAATAGGAATAATGATGATTGGTCAGCACTTAATTATAAAAAAAAATTGTGTGTTAGTACATGTTAAAACTAGGAGTGAATCACTTCTTTTTTTGTGTGATGTAAAATCTTCGTGCTGAATATTAGTATTAATAGCAGATAGTCTGCAAATTTGCAATCAATATTACAAGCAAGGGGCAAGAACAGTTCTTTACAGAATTGTTAAAAACTTCTATATTCTGTGATAGTGTCTATCACAAAGTTACAAGACCATTGTAATGCAAATTGTAAATTTATTAACCGCATAGCCATGGGCCGAGTGTGGTTCACGTTCTACACGGGGTTTGTTATTTTTTTTTCAGTTTTGTCGGTGATCAGACACAAACTTCCTCTCAGCCAAATTTTGAATCACCCAACCTATGATGTTTATTCGCCAAAAGCTGTTGAAACATTAATACACGGACAATGTTACAATATTGTTTTCTTTATTGTGTGTAAAGTATATTTTCTTTTGGTTTTATCAAAGCGTTGGATTCAAAGGGAATAATAAATACGCTAAAAAAGGTATTACATCAGCCATGGAATGTGCTGACGTTGCATCTTTCACTTTCGCTATGTGACAAAAAAGATCTTGTTTACTTTGCAAGTTTATTTCGCCACGAGCGACAGTCCTTTTAGTTTTCCGAGTATTTTTCATATTTCTAGACAAGAGGAGTGAATTGCCATGCTGTTTTATTGAAGCGAGTTCAGAGATCAGAAGGAAAATTGAATATTTGCAAGCCAAGCAAAGAATGTGCCAGAACGTGCAAGGATTACGTCATTGGTAGAGAAATAACCACCGTACTAAAGATAGCTGTGGATAATGTAATTCTTGAATTATGCGACTTGTGTGACTACTTTGCTAGTCCTTTACTCATGGGAAAAACCAATTAAATTTAATTGTGACTTTTAAGAAAGAAAGCTGTTGTTAATAGTGTTATTATTGAATTGTTTGTATCAATCATGCCCATATATATCCCAAAGAAAGTTCCAGATTAAGACCATTACATCATCGGAGATTTCACAACGGCTATGACTGATGTAGCCTGCAAATGCAGACGTATTTCCGGCTGTCACTTGGTTCAGCTGAACCAAGTGATGGCCGGAAATACATCTGCGTTCGCAGGCTACAACTGATGGTGCAGTAATACAGTTTGTGTTGATCAAGTGATGTGATGTCTACTGTAATAAATGAATCATCAAGGACTACTTTGGAATGTGCACTGCATTGCGACTGTAGAGCTAAGAAAACAGTTACATTTTAAAAGCACAGTTATAAGATCTTACAGATCTTCTTGTTTATTTAAATTTAATTTAAATTGCACATGGAACCTCAAGCAGTAAATCATACCATCTTTTCTGACAGGTGTTTTATAGAAAAGCAGTTTGACTTTAATTTTTTACGAAAAAGAGTTACTATAAAATTCTGAAATTAATAAACTCCTGAAAGCAGCGACCCTTCAAAAGAAGCACAAGACAAAACTTCAGATGTCGGAAAGACCACTGACGGTAACCCTAATATTTCTGGAAAATAAAACTTTTCTGAATATGCCTGCAATGTTTGTTTACTTACGAAGCATTTTTATAATAACTGTAGAAATTCCTGCACGCTCATTAGCTAATTTTTATTGTCAATATGCTGACAGACTGACATGAGTTTATAATTTATACAATATTGTTATTGTAAAAAACAAATTGACGTCAGTTTATCATGCATCTGTGCTGTTTCCAGAGGGGTGGGGTGCTCTTAGAAAAAGTCCCTTACAGGAGGGTGGGTATGAACATTTTCTGGAACTACACATTGGAATTTGTAAGTGTTGGTTTTTATGGAGAGAGGAAAACCAGAGGACCTGGAGAAACACCCTTCGAGCAAGGACAAAAATCAGTAGTAGATTCAACTCAATTATGGTGCCAGGAAGGCAAACATTCTCACCATGTGCCATCCCCCACTTCCAATTAATTCAACAGTTAAATGGTCATATTTGTACAGGCTTGCCAGCCGCAAGATGGCAGGATTTGATGCTGTGTGGATGAAAAAATTCCCATACTGACCATTTTGTAATTTTTTTTTAACCTGTTGGGGAAAAATGCCTATTCAAAATAAAGCAAAGGTCTCAGCTAGCAAACTAGCCAAGACTAGCTGGTTTATATTACTTCCTTGTTATGAATGCTTGATGCATGACACTGCATGACATAGTGACATGAGTTGTGTCCCCATTGAGGATGCACAGAAAAAATAAATGTGAATTTCTTTAAACAGCTGTTCCCTTCTGTCACTTTCAGTTCCCTTCTGTCACTTTCATTCTCCAGTGCACAATAGCGGTGGCCTAAAGCACTTTTCAATGATTACTTCTGGGATGCCAAAGTGTGAAAATGCCTGACATTTTGTATGGGAGGAGGGAAATTTAGATTACAAGCCAGACGCTTGCATTAATAATTTAATACCTAATTTCAGTGTCAATTAAAAGCACATCCACATATCAACCTTGCATACAAAAAATTGTAAAAGTTAAAGGTTCAATTAGCATTAAAACTATAGGAAAACACATACTATTTTTTCAATTGAAATTATAATAACGTAAGACAAAAGAATTTTTCTGTAAACCATCAGTTGCTTGGCAGTGCAACCACAAGTTCTGTCTCAGTTCAAAACTTCAGTATGGCAGTCTTTAATTCGATTTAGCAACTACATGTAAGTATTAATGCAACGCAGGTCGCTAAAATGAAGCTAACTTCAGGTGCAAGCGAATAACATGGAAATAAACAGTTATACGTGTTAATCTGTAGTCTTACTGTCTCATTCAACGGTACAATTCTCCACAAACGTCGTTGGTTTGTACAGCAGACCGAAAGTAAATAAAGCCGAGTGGTAAGTATGAGTATGTAAGATGAAGAGCGTGAATCTCTATTAAAATCACTGAAAACACAATCTTGTCTTACCTGATATTCTATTTCCAAAGTTTTGTTATCACTGATATTCTCGTAAAAACAGTTCACTTTCCCTGCTTCCACTACAGTTGTGAAACCATTCAACATCGCACGGGACATCGGCAGCAAAATAAGCCATTGTAGAAGTATGCTGAGGAAGATGCAACTTGCTGGCAACCGCATTCCCGGGAGAAACGTAAGAAAAAACAAACCCAGCTAATTCTACTAACTGAAAGTCAATTACTAAACTGACCTGGCAATGCAATGCAGATGCTAACTAGTCGATGGTTAATTTACTAGCATTCTGCATATTATCGACCACAGTATCGCATTGAGTACGTGTCCGCTAGTAAGACGATTTCCCCCCCTCTTCCCAGGATTCTGTGCAGTACCTGTTGCTTTGGCGTGTGATTGCGAGATTGCGTGACACGAAGGGAAAAGAGGAATGGGGGAGGGGTGGGAATGGCTGATCCCACACTGATAATGACTTCTGCAAACCAGACTCATGGTCAGTAGCCTAGGATACTGACAGTGCTGGTATTGCAAACTGGGAAAGCTGAACTTCTGACTGGGACGGATGGCGAGGAGAAAAGAGTGGAGGGAGGAAGTTTGAAAAAATATGTACCAGCAAAATGAAAACGGTGCGGTGGGGGGAGGGGAAAAATTCAACGAGCTCAAACGCAAGAGAGTGGGTAGGACACATGTCCATCGAGACTGGATCTTTTTCTTTTGAGTCACAGTCTCATTTTCATGCAAATCAACTCATGTAAAAGATTTGTACCAGTCGTAAACCTGCAATTGCGGGAGGCGACATGTAAGGCAAAGAGCACAAAGCAGAGAGAAAATTAATTTCGCCTGATCATTTTAAGGGACTGTGCAATAGTTACTTGGAGGGGGGCTGGGAAATGGGTGAAATATGCCCCAAAACTAAGTCATACCCCCCTCTTATTGAGCAAAAATTAATTTCAACCCCCCATCACATAATGATAATATTAAGGCTAACCCCCCCCCCTGAAAAACGTCTCCTCCCATTGATTCCCTCATAACTAGTTTACTTGTTGGAGTTCTTCTTCAGGTACAAACATCACTTCAAACGACTCTTCGACGTATGTCGAAGAGCCATTTGAAGAGTCATCAGAATCACTGGACTTTGAGCTTGTGTCGTCTTCGCATGAATTGGGAGATTCCTCATCTTCTACAGCATCTCTGGCACTGAGGTTCCCGCGTGAGTGGGTGAGAACGTTAACTCGATCAATCAACTCGGCCTCGCTTCCACTTGTCTTAAGACCTTTTTCTTTAGATACGTTTTCAGCTGCTTGTTGGTAGGCGCTTTTACATCTTTTTCAATTGTCCAAGAAATAAGCGGAAGAGTGTTCCTTTCTCTTACTCTTTTTTGGCTTTTGCACCGAGGAACGCAAGGTGCTGCACATAACTTTTACATGCAGTCTCGTCCACGTTGTACTGGGAACATACCTCTTGCAAAGACCTTTCTTCAGAAGAGGGCAATTTTCCCTAGTTGAACAATCTCTTTATCTGGACACTTGGGAGAAACTTGTCGATCTGGTCTCCAGTGGACGTTGCCGTAGTGAATGGATTAGGGAACTTAAGCACGCGCGTTTTTGAGACGCGGACGGTAGCCGGAAGTCAGCTACTTTTCACTTTTAACTTGTCCTCACACAACCATATTCACATTGCTAAGTATCTTTTCTTCATTAGAGATGAGTAGTATAAAAATCTGGGAGACAATACGGTCCTAGCAGGCGAAATCTTCTCTTCCGGTTGCCGTCCGCGTCTCAAAAACGCGCGTGCTTAAGCTCCCTAATACTTTGCAGGCGAAATAGCATCTAGGGCTGGAACTGGAGAACGTTGGACAGGAACACCTCTTGTCCAACCTTCATTAACGCATCCATCACACGTTGGAGTGAAGGAAAACTAAAGCGACTCAAGGAAGTACTTCCCCTGACGAACATGGTCTTCTTTTAATTTCTCAAGCTTTTCAAACAAGACATTCCCAAACATATTAAATTTTACATCCAAGCCCCCTCTCTTATTGTCATTTTCTCCTATGCCCCCCCTCTAATTTTCCAACCCCCTCCTCTAGGTAATTATTGCACAGTCCCTAACTGGAAATTCAGCATTGAGGAATGCGTAAGAGTCGCTAGGGCATAATCTGAAAAAGAAATATGAGCTCTTCAGCTAGAAGTCAAACTTACTAGAGTGAGAATTGAAAAACGTCCTGCATGCTGCTAGTAGTGGAATGTCGTCGAGTGCGGGCAAATTCACAATGATAACAAATGAGATAGGGNAAACTTGTCCTCACACAACCATATTCACATTGCTAAGTATCTTTTCTTCATTAGAGATGAGTAGTATAAAAATCTGGGGGACAATACGGTCCAAGCATGTGAAATCTTCTCTTCCAGTTGCCATCCGCGTCTCAAAAACGTGCGTGCTTAAGCTCCCTATAATCTGAGAACAACAGTATCTTTATAACAGTTTATAAGTCCTACTCGTGCTGTTTTCAAAAGTTTTAGCTCTTCATTTGTGACTTTCTTGCATGCAAAGTGACGTACAAAATCATGTTAGTGTTCTCATGTGAATTATATATAAAATAAGTTGGCAACCAAAATTTACGATCTGGCGACCAAATTTTTCCCATTAGTCGCCAGCTGGCTCCCGAACAAAAAAGTTAATTTCGAGTCCTGGATTAGCATTTTACCAAGTGAATGTTTCTGTCCTTTAATTTATTCATGTACATTTGCCACTTTTGGCTATAATTTTTCAGCAGGTCTAATTGAAAAGAAATTTCCTTACTGTGTGCAATTCCTTTCTTACACCATATGACTACATTAATCTCCGCCTTGGATATTGTTCCTACCTACACTGTAGACTGTAGTGTTTTACATTCGTTGACCAAAAAAAATATTTTATGGTCAAATCACTGACAGTTATCTGCCTTGGTTAAAGTACCTTGTTATGCTCTCTTTCAGGGACATACTCTGTAGGCCTCAACAATGATAATTTATATGACTGGACAATAAAAATTATCAGGTGTGTCAAGGGCTCTTATATTTCTGTATACATGTTAGAGGTGAACCACATACTGTAAACTTCTAAAAGCAACAACTCCCTTTCTGCATAAAGTGGAGACCCTCCTGAAGTGATAAAATTTAATGTGGTTAGTAAATCCTTGCATAGCAATGCTAGTAAAGTAACAATACTCTAAAATTAGCAAACTCAAATTTGGTAATTTAAATTTTGAAACATAAATGTGGTGAATGAAAGATACAAAGCTCACTGGTATATTGATTATTCTGTCCTGTTGTTGATTCATTTCAACACATATCCTTGTGGTCTCTAGGTTACTATAACTTTTTGTATTACCAAAACTAGTTTAAAATTGTTACATGTATGCTTGCTAAGGTAAATTTTATTTGCTGGAGATGTACATGTTGTAATTATAGTCAACTATTTTAGTAAAATGGATGAAACTACTGTAAATATGTCACAATCATCCGAAACATTGGTGCTTAGAAAGAAGTGTTAGGAAAAAGCTACTAAATTCCAAAGTAAACAGGCCTGCTTGTCACTTTTATTTGGAACTTTAAACAATAGCATTTAAGGTAAAGTCTGCATACGAGCCAAGTAGCCCACCAGGCTAGTGCTTAGGAGTATTTCTACTCCCCCCTGGATGGGATGCTAGTCCATTACAGGGTTACCAGTACCCCCTTGCATTAAGTTTGTCAATACCCATAGATATACCTGTGTGGAAAAGTAAAGTGTCTTGCCCAAGAACACAGCCAATGTCCCAGGCTAAGGCTCAAATCTGGGCCGCTCCATGTGGAGAAGAGCGCACTAACCTTGAGGCCACCGTAAATACTTGTAAATATTGTAGCTCATTAACACAGAACACACCTCTCTATAGTAATGAATAACATGTCATAATGCTAACTGACAAGGTGACTGACTTTGCTTTGGTTTTTGTCATTATAGAGTTGACCCAGATAGTACATTACACAAAGATCTTATGCAGCTAAGAGGCCAGGAGGGCATAGATCATGTGTCATTAAACATGACATTCACAGTGAGTGCTAAAATAATGTACAAGTGATTGTTGAAAGTTGTCTATGAGAATGTACATGTTGGTCATTAGGTGTGATTTGAAAGATGTTTGTCTTGTTCACTATGAGTTCTGATTGCAGTTGAGATGTCAGTGAACACAAATTTTAAGGAATTACCTTATAGCGAATTCAATTGCTGGGAGGTTGACCCGTTAATGTTGTAGGCCACAGTTTCATATGTTGCCTAAACTTTATTTCTGCTACCCAGCAAATTTTCAAGATAATAAAATATTGTTTGATATTCCAGTCCATTGTTTACATCTTGTCCATTTTATGGCTATCTTTTATTCAGCATGGCGTTCTAGTGTTTTGCTGGTGTTTGAAACCATTTTATGGTGATCAAATTTAAAATGTTCTTTGTATAGCATTATAATATAGCTAGGACCCTGCACACACTCTGATTGGTCAAAAACCTATGTTTTATCAGAGTATAAAACATAGAAAAAGCGTGTTGTACTGTTTTTTGCGTGTAAAATCTATATCATAAAGCAAATGAAGAAGCCCCAGCCGTGTATTACACTTTGATAAAACATTCCGGACACTCAAGAAATGTAAAAAAAACTCGCCTACAGCTTGTGTTTTCTACATATCCCTCATGTTCTCAAATGCCCGTCGTGTTTTATCGCACTGTAATACATGGCTTAGGCTTCTTTATTTGTTAAATAAATGTCAATCTATTTCAGGACAAGTTTCCATTTGATCCTCCATTTGTCAGAGTTGTATATCCAGTTTTAACGGCAGGGTAAGTTAATTGTTTAGATTGCATGCTGCAATGTTGTCATTATTAAAATATAGTTTGAAGCGCACGAGGCTGTAAATTGTGGATTAATTGACATAATAATTCCTTTTCATGTAACATTCGATTTCCAATTCCTTGTACAGTTGCAATATTTGCAAATTTAATTGGGTATCATCAGAAGGGGTATCCCGAGGTGCAAAAAAGGGGGTTAGGTCTGGGGGGAGCAGCATCTTTTTTGTTTAAAACAGTGAGGTGGAGTGAAGACAATCCCTGTTTTGTTCACCAATATAGTGGGATGGTCCCTTTCCGTAAATCTTTCAGAAATTAAAAAATCATAACTGAAGCAAGTCTCCTAGCAATGCTTATTGAGGAATTTGACAGAACAGCAAAGTTCTTTTTGATACTGTGTACCCAATGTGTACACTGGTACTTTCATATGTACATGATAGCCAATTTTACATGTTATTTTCCCCATATTCGCAAACAGATTAGTTTTTTTTTCCCTTTCTTTAGTTATGTACTTAGTGGAGGAGCTCTTTGTATGGAACTACTTACTCCACAGGTATGCAAAATAGTTTTTATGGATTAGTGTAATGATTATTTTAAAGAGAAGGACTGCAGGGTTGTACGTCAAAAAAATTGTAAGAAATTAGCAAACAGTAAGTTTTTCAACTAACCAGACAACCCTGCTTTATTCTGATTGGCTGAAATAGATACGGATAAATAAGCTAGTCTGGGTGAGAATCTATTTCCTCTTGGGACAAATAACAAACAAAGCCTATTACCCTTGTTTACACAAGTGGAGTGTGTGAGTTTGAATTCATGGTGTGTGCGTGTGTGTGTGTGTGTGTGTGTGTGTGTGTGTGTGTGTTAGAAAAACTACTTCCCTGAGCATATTTTCATATTTTTTTGCCTTGTAAACTGTCCTTTAAAAAAGTAATCTTCATGCAAATGCTTATGCAAACTGGCATGCTCCTGAATTCTCCTAATCATTTTCAATACATAATCAAGCAGAAAGGTTATGAGAGTTAAAAGCCTGATCAAGGAAGACATTCTCCTAAGGAGAATTACAAGAAATGTTTCAAAACAGCAAGAGGATTTTGAATGCTTAGGTAACGACTTACAAGGTTTGTGTTTCCCACAGGGTTGGAGTAGTGCTTACACAATTGAGGCTGTAATCATGCAGATAGCTGCTACACTGGTGAAAGGAAAAGCAAGGATAAACTTCCAAGAGAACAAAAAGGTGTGTACTTCCATTTCAATTTATTGTGTTTTAATTATTATGTGGGTACAAACACGTTGATAAATCTCACACAGTATATAAGAAACATTGTTGAGAGAAACTCCAGAAACTCTACAAACATTTTCAGTGCAACATTTAGATATGAGTTGCATTTATAATGCCAATACTTGCTTTGTTTAGTTGTTTGTTTTTTTGTTTGTTTGTTTTAATAGCCAGGAGTCTACAGTCTTGTACGAGCTCAACAGTCTTTTAGGTCTTTGGTACAGATCCATGAAAAAAATGGTATGGAAATTGTTTCATTTTTTTTTCGTTTTATTTTGTTTATTTTGCAACTTAATACAGATAATGTTCTACTTATCCATTGAAATGTCTCTCCTGTTTACAGGATGGTATACTCCACCCAAACATGAAGGCTGACTTGTACTTTAAAATATTAGCGATGGCTTCTTAAGACTGCACAGACTGTCCTTACACAAAATATTTTTATGATAGTTCACAAGGTGTTGTATTTAGGGTTTAGCTATAAAATAGAGATAATGCCCCTCCCTTGTTTTCCCCCTGTACTTTCGCATGCAGTTTAAACGTATGTGCGCTTTTTTTAATTTCTGATGTATCAGTCAATTCTCCAAACTGATGTAGTATGTTTTTTTTTATGTGAGTTAGGAGAACATAGTGAATGATCAAGGTGAATGTTATATTAAGGGCTATGTACAAGAATCGGTCAAATTTAATTCTGGGCATACTGATTGAAGCGTTCGTAATGGGACAGACACATTTGCCGCGTACATTGCAGAGGTGTCCGTAAATAATTTTTTGTCAGGGCTTAGCAAACTGTTTGTAACGCAATGACTGGGTTGACAGTAGAAAGAACAGTTGTCAGGTAGAGTATTATTAGAGATGAATTTTCCATTTCAATGAGTACTTCTACTTCTTACCCAGAGTGGTCAGCTTTCCATTGTGTTTATTAGCTATTAACATGTAGATAAACCGAAAGGTAAATGGTCTTGCATGTGCCTTGAAGCTCAGTGTTGACATTGGTGCCTCCTACGCAGACGTTCTTTTGGCTCGTCACACAATCTTCTCCGTGGGGGAGGAAGATTGCGTGACAAGCAAAGCGCCTGCGTAGGAGGCTATTGGTACCTAGGCTCTCGTTACGGGGACTCGAGTTGTTTTGAACAAGTGGTGAGGTTCATTTGCTGTATGACACGAGTATTTATCAAGCAAATAGCAGATTGAAAACTGTGTTTTTGGGTGCGGACGGAGTGGTTCTCTCTGTACGTTGCTAAACATGTTAACAAAACATGTGACGCTTTTACTGCCACCCCTTTCTCCCTGCAAGAATGCACTGAGCTGCCTAAATAAGTAACTTTTGATCATATTAAACATGTCGTGGGTGGGGAAACACCGTAAGCATTGCAAAAATAATATTCAGCACCCCTGCCCTAAGAAGTTCTTTGTTTCCTACTTGTTGTGCAAGCATTTGTTTTGGCTTCTCTTTGTTAGTCTTACCTTCAACCATATAACAGAGGTACATTTTCATTTTAGAAAGAAACAGAGACCAGGGAAAGGTGGTTAGGGATATGCTTACAACCGTGGGCTTCAGTCGCCCAGCTGGTAAAAATAACTCAAAGTTCGTGTCTATTGTAATATAAATTCACAACCAGTCATTCTTTCTTAACTTAGAAATTAAGGTATCTAGATCAATTCTTGTTAGTTATTCTTTGTTATAGACACTCGCTCTCTTGAACGGCACCTCGGATTGATAGGAGTTTCCCTAGCATATACTTTTTGCTTCATGAATATTCTTTCTTGTATCTCCATTGAGTTTTCGCTCGATGAGCTCGAGATGGCGGACGTCCCCTGTATTTGTAGACCTCTTGTTGTTAATAATCATTTAATGACCTTCGTCGATCATCAGTCGGTGTTAACGCAGTGTCAAACATTTAATTGCAAAATGGGTTTCCTTGCTATCTTTTATCAAGTTCTCAAAAGTATTCATTGCTAAAGCGAGCTTTATGTTCCATTTTCTAGTCGTTAGTTGTAGTAGTTTATGATCTTGTCGTATAAACTCGTTATTGTATATAGTGGCATGTTGCCATTGAAGAATTAAAGGGCTATTTTGTCATCTTATTCCGACTGGCCTTATTCGTAACGTGGCATAAAAAGGTTGAAAATTATGCCAGGAACAAAACTACAAATAATGTTGCATCCTCTGCCCTTTATTTCTACTTTAAAACTCGTGAACTAACCGTTTTGTACTCACTGAAAAGCAAGACTTCACACAAAGGAATGAGACAATGGTTTTCACGGAAATGAGGCAATGCATAAACCAGTGGCGGATCTAGGGGAGGGGCCCGCCGCCTCCCCGGCCCCCTCCCTCCTTATTTTGGGTGAAAAGAGAAGAAATGACTGAAGGAAGGAAAGCCGGCAGGGCAAGTAAAACAAACCCCCACCCCGCCCCCTTAGCTCAAAGTCTGGATCCGCCACTGAAAACGAACTGCCATCTGAAAACTGGGAAATTTTAAGTAAATGATCAAGATAATTGTTCACGGTAAAAGAGATTGTTTTTAAGGCTCCAGCAACTTGAGACCCGTCCCCGATCCTTGGGTCCCGGTCCCCGGTGTGTTTTTACAAATTGTTCAACTTAATCCTCGCTAAAGAAAACACAGAACTGACTTGGGTCCAACAGTCGATTTTGATTATTGTGTCTAAACCAAATGCAACCAAGTGATAACATACAAGGCACCTCTATTTATAGCAGAAAACACGAATCCTGTCTCTACGAAACAATAGGATTTTCCGTTAACAACATGAAATACAGATAGGTAGGGGTTTGACAAGGGCTAACGCAGATTGCAACAATACTTCAACGCTTATTACAGTTTTGATCAAATACCAGTTACCTCAGGAAAATATCAAACACGCACTAGCCATACATGGCTACTGAACTGAAAGTGAACCTGTCTCTTAATAGGATATTAAATTTCTACGTTGGCTTTTTGTATTTAAAAAAAAAATAAAATAACGAAAGCAAGCAAACAAAATCAAACTGAATAATCCCATTTTCTATCGTAACATACATGCAGAACTAACACTATGGCAAGAGAATACATTTTTGCTTATAATTACTCATTTTTTGCAGTACAACCCTTCTGTCATTTTAACCAGTCCGAAGCTAGTCTGAGAATGAACATGCGGGTCATTATAATTACCCCAAAAAAGTTTTAAAATGATGATTTTATCAACAGTATATCCACTAGGTGGCTCTTTATCTGTTAACATCTAGCTACAATGATTACAATTAAAACAATCAGGAAACACTCTGATAAACGACTAACAACTTAACGGAATTCACTGACGGTCAGGTAACTTATTTTGTGCGGTATAATCTTTCCAATTAACTCACAAAATTTGAAGTCACTAACTCAAGGTGCTTCCAAGATAAAAGTTCCTTTTAACGTTTCTTTCATCTTTTCTGTGTTAACTATTTCATTATGAGTACTCTACTCGTCAAGGATTCAGAAAACAAAATGCCACCATCTGGTGTCAGTGTTACTCCCCATGGTCTGTTAACGACATGTTTGCCAGTAAAACCACCTTCAATTGTAAACTGCTGAATTCGGTTATTGCCTCTATCACACACAAGAATATTGCCATATTTGTCCACGCACAACCCCACAGGCGTTTTTAACTGCCCATCTGCCTCGCCTTCTTTTCCAATCTTGTGCAAAAATCTCCCAGAACCGTCATAAACTTTCAAACAGTGGTTGCCCCAGTCGGATACAATGAACATGTTCTTGTGACAAACGCATCCGCTAGGCCGGTTCAGTGTTGGCTCCCTATTTCCAAATTTGAAAACAGGTATACCATCCTTTGTCAAAACCTGAATTCTATTGTTGACATGCTCAGTTACGACAACGTGTCCTTTATTATCCATACACACACTGCTCGGATTCTTAAACTCTCCGTCTCCTGTCCCTTTCTTTCCAAAGCTTTTCACAAATTCCCCTGACTGTACATTAAACTGCTGTATTCGGTGATTTAATTCATCTGCCACGAGAATCTCGTCGTCATTTAGGAATGTGACGTCAGCTGGGTCCTGAAGTTGGCCAGCGTTGTGTCCATGGCCGCCCACATTTCCAAGATGCTTTCCTTCTTTATCGAATATGAAGATGGAATGTGATTTGCGGTCTACTACAGCAATAAGCCCTTTACTATTTGCTGCAATCCCGCGTGGCTTCAGAGCAACTTTACCAGTGTTTAATTTTAACCCGCCGACAACGTCAAACCTTCGTTCTTTCACCCTGATGGAGAAAGGACCGTTAGCAAGTGACTTGCCATTTATCTTGACTGTGACGTTGTAAGTCTGTGGAACATTTGCTACAAACTTTACTTGGAATTTTCTGTCTTGTTGTTTACAAATGGTCAAGGTGGCCACCTGGTCAGCGGGCTCCACGAGTACTTCAACTTGATCTTGTTCGTTGTTACTGATCTCTCCTTCGCTTGTTTTAGGGCTAATAGACAACTCTGCTACTTTTCCAGCCTGGAAATTTTGACTCAGTCCTTCCACTGTTGATCGATGGACATCTATGTCATTGAATACCGTGAAGCCCAGCTTCAAACTGTCTGATGTAGGAACAAATTTCACAAATGAACTAACCGGAAGTGGAGGTACTTTCGCTTCAGCAAGCACTTTAAATCGCTGTTCCAAATTCTTCTTACTTTGCATAATGTCTGAACTTGAGCTTCTTTGTACAAGGTTGTTAGTAAACTCAACTGCTTGTTTCCTTTGCTTTTCCAAAGACAACACTAGTTCCTTTGCAGAGTGCAATTTCTCGATCCGTAACACGCGTGTTTCCTCGAGGAGGGCAATGACTTCGCGTTCACGTTCTCGAATCTTCGCGACCATTCGTTCCGCTGTTTCGGAAACTTGACGTTTAGCGATCGTAATGTTAGTTTCCAACTCAGCCTCCGTCGTTTCAAATTGACGAATAAGGTCGCTGCAAGCCTGTATTTTTTCTCTCATCCGCTCGGCTTCGGTGACAGTGTTGGCTTTTTCGTCATCGGCTGTCTTTTCGAGTGGAACAATATCGTGGCTTTTATGATCCGTGACGATGGAAACATGGCAAACATAGATTTGACATTGATCATGAAGGCAGAAAAACCTCGTTACTTCTCGCTCGTGGTACTTCTGCGAACAAAATGACTGCCGCTTTAGCAAAACCTCATAGTCTTCGGGTTGGAACTGTCTGACCGGCGTGACTTTGTGTCCCTCAAACGCAGCAGTTCTGACTGACAGATCGTGTGCTTTTATACAGTCCGGGCACAAAAATTTCTCGCAATCAAAACAATAGTTGATTTCAGCGCTCTTTTTCTGACAAAAACTGCAACCGATCTCATTTCCATCATGACTTCTTCGAACAGCAAGAAGACTCAACAGACTGTTGTGCAGAAAACTGCTCGGCAGACGATCAAAACGTTTTCCTTCGGGGATGCCAACTCGCGCCTGGCACTCGGGACAGCGATAGAACCCTTGTCTTTGGCTGGTTAATGCATGTTTCTCCAAGCATTCACAGCAGAATGTGTGAAGACAGTCTATGGTCTTGGGCTCGGTGTAAGAATCTAGACAAATCGAACATGTAACATGTTCTTTGAGGTTTTTAAGGAGCTCCTCCATCGTAAAGTGTAGTTCACTGAGACTGAAATCACTACACACCCATCTATTGTTTGTGATTCCGAGAAACTTAGCTTAACGTTCGCATTCTATTTTAAGTAGCAATCAGATTGTTTTTTTAAACTCGTGGATACGCGAAGCGTAGGAACGTGTTTGTTGTGGGGGCTCCGATATGCAAATGTCTCACTCACTCACTCACTCACTCATTTTTTTTTTTGTGATGGAATTTTGGAATGTTCATCTCTAGTATCTAACAATTTCAGTTAGTTCTTTATATACTCTGGAATGTTGATTCAGTAGGTAACCAAACATTTCCGTAGTTCCACAACTTTATAAATGAAAGATTTATGTTATTGATGTCCAAAGAGAAATTTATTTCAAGGATTTACATTGGGGCATCGATAACCATTATTTTTGACGCATATTTTGACCATGATATTATTTAGCAGTATTTAAACTCATTTTGTAACTCAACTGTTTTGCTTAATAGTGGCTGGCCATAAAAAATGTACAAAAAGCAGAGCAGTTTTGCCGTCAAAATAATAAGTTCTCACTTTGAAACTTACAAAAATATGTTACTTTGAGGTTATTATCATAGGTGAAAATTGGAATAATATTGCAAATATATTGTGTTATTTTTAAATTTGAGAAAAAACGGTGATTTATGCTATTGAAAATTTCAAAACACAGCATTGTATATTACAAAAAGTTCCACACTAGCATAGTTGTGAATTGACTAAAGGTGTACTGTAAAATGGCTGGGGACCCAGGAAAGACTAATCACAGAATAGCAAAGTGGCCAACAGTCTCTTAAACTAATCAACAGATCAACAAATTTAAACAAAGGAGAGCATAATTGTCATGGTTTCTGGATTTCTGATCTTAATTGGCATTAATTTTTTATGTTTTTATTTCTCCATTAAAAATTCTCGTTAGTTATTGTTTTGATTGAGACAATGCTTTGGTATGTTTCTAAACACCTTGAAGTGCATCAATCAGCTGTGCATTATGTTTTCAACTCTCTTTTTGGAGTTTGGATATCTCGCTGAAACACTGTCTGTTGTGTTTGATATATTACTTCTCAGTGTTTTGAAATATGGTAAAACAGTCTCTAATGTTGGTATAGTAGTTTCATTGAATTATTTATTTTCACAGCTGCTTAAGTCATATGCATAATTGTGAGGATCATTCATGTCTCTACCAGGAATGCATACAGTTTGTATTGTTTTCATCATCATTTAACTTGTCTTGATTAATCCAACGAACAAAGAATCAATTTCTTTTGCCTGTTTCTATTCCTGCCTTTACCCAGAAACTGAAAACATTTCATTGGAAACCTTTTATTTTATCTAACAATGTTCAAAATCATATTATAATATATACCATTGTATTTAATTACATGATCAGCTCAATTCAGTGTTTGAGAGAGCTAGCTATCTTGAACAGATTTCCCTCAAATTTCCACCTACAATAGCAAAAATGCAAATCAGTTGGCAAATCAGGTAAATAAATAATCTGTTATCTGACTGTTGGTACTTGTGCAGGAGTATGAGAATGTAAGAACAGAACAGGTTTACAGAAAATAGTATTTTGGTTTAGATTTTAAAATTCTTATGTTAGTGATAGATGCAAACCATTAATACTTACAATCACCTTAAACTGGAGTGGTTTAGAAAACTGCTAGCATGAATAAACAGACACCTCTCTGGCACATGTGCTCAATTCTTCCACCTCTCAAGGGGTGTCTGAAATTTTATCCAAGAAAAAAAAAATTCCACACTGTAGATGCACCTTGACAGAGATTTGCAAAGTGTAATGATATGGTTGTTCCTTGGACATCAAAAAACTTAAAAGTCAACAACAACAGCAACAAGCAATTGTCACTAAACAGATCTCCGAAGAGCTTCATCATAAGTATGTCAAATATGCCAGCCAGATCTTACTCTTCTCTCCATCAAGAGAGAAGAAAGGCTCTGCTTAGATTGCAATGTTTCTCGAGTTGAAAGAATTAAGTGCGCACAAAAGGGAAACGTCTGTGTATTCATGCAGCATAGGTTACACTGGTGCCTTAACTAAACACAGAGAAATGTGTATTTTACCGGGTTATGTCAACAGGCCTTATTCCAGAATAAGAATCTTCTTTTGTTTACTTTGATGTATCCATTGACCCATGCTCATATTGTTGAGTACTTGTCCACATCCTGTGAACAACTTGGCCTTGTGGACTAAATATTGTTAAATAGAACCCACTTTGTAACCAAGGTAGGAGATAGCTCATCAGGTGTAAAGTTACCTCAGCAACAGAACATTCCATTGGTCAACAGTGGCAGATTTGGGGGGCGGGGGTGGGGAGTTGACTGGGTGGTAGCCACCCACTCCCTTTTGGGGAAGTTTAAAAAAATTGAGAGTATTAAGACAGACACTCTGGAGAGGTACCACAGTGTAATTTATTAATGATTATACTGCTGTTTTTCTGCTTTGTGGCATTGCTAGTATTTCTCTAGTGTAACAGTAGTCAAGTAGGTTCTAGTTCTCCAATAGCAACATTTTGGGGGCATGCCCCATTGATTCTGCAACCCCAGGGTACCACCCCCCCCCCCTTGAAAAATCCTGGATCCACCCCTGGTTCACCCATAACTCCAATTCACTTTATTGCTGCATCCCAGTTAATGGCCCCATCCCTGTGTAGGTTGTTAGAAAGAAGAAACAACTTTTCTTGTTTTTCTTCACATCATTGCATTGTTCATTGGCATATGCATTCAGAAATTTTAAGTGTAAATTTTANCGTGGAAAGGACAATAGGCCAGTTTTTTGGCGAAAAATTGTTACTATTCCGAATAAAAAGCTACTTTCTATCAATATTTGTCCTGTCTGCTGCTCAGGTTGCCTGAAAGTTAAACTTTTAGCGATTATTTTTTCGAAGCAAAATACAAAATCATGTTTTGAACGGCCGAGGACGGATACAATATGTAAATTGTAAAAAAACCGTAAAATCGATACTTTGTCGTATTTATACTTCAATTTGAGTATTGTAGTTAATCTTTGCAACCATTTATCAGCGCCAAGCATGGACTGCATGTGTATTGGCTTCACAAGTTGTTTCCGTTAACTGCTGACCGCTGCAAACAGTGAGAATTGCGTGACAGACTGCTGAAGGCCCACGCATCTTGCACGTGTTCTACAGTCCAACCCCTGTTGTCCCTATTAAACGGCCACCCATAGGGAAATGGATTTTGGGAATTCGATTACCGGCCGCCTAAAAGGGGTGGCTGTTTAATAGGTGACCGCTTAATAGGGGTTCGATTTGTTATGTAATTAAAAAAAGTAGTTGTTATACTTCCTTTATTTTTAGTACAATTTTGTTGCGAACCTGGAACTGGAATAGTTTTTTTCCTATTTTTTTTGAATAATTCTTTCACAAGATACGTCTACCCCTACTCCAGCGCGCTGGGCCTGTTAATCGTGAACATCCTGATAAATTTGATGGCTATTTAACAATTAGACCCGTAGCCTGCAAGGGCTACGGGTCAATAGCCCATGAGGCGAAGCAGAATGGGCTATTGACCCGTGGCCCTTGAGGGCGACGGGTCTAATTGTTTTAGTATCACCCAACTAGTCGGACAGAAAAGGTAAATAATAAAGTTAGCAAATGCAAGTTGAAGAAATATTTATTTGGGAATAAAACGAAAGGAAACGTCACACTCGATGGCGCCAATTTCGCCACTCGAGGACTATTAGTAATAGTCCCTTAGTAGCGTAGCCAATCAAAATGCAGGATTTGCATTAGTCCACTAGTTGGGTGATACTAAAGGCTATTAGCATGAAACTCGAGGTTGTTATAGCCAAACTAGTNCGTCACGCTCGATGGCGCCAATTTCGCTACTCGAGGACTATTAGTAATAGTCCCCTAGTAGCTTAGCCAATCAAAATGCAAGATTTGCATTAGTCCACTAGTTAGGTGATACTAAATTGGAATAGTAATCGTGCAGCTGCGCGGTTACTATTCAAAGCGTGCATCTTGCCAGCCCGAATTTGGTGATTTTGTGGCTTTTACACGACAATAATATTAGGTGTTTCGCTAAAGTGAAGTGGAGTTGACTTGGAATGTTGGAATTAGTACTATGGCCAACTTGAAGACTGAATTTCAGGAGCATTTGAGTCGTCCAGGCGTAAAACATGACCAGGATATGAGCATCTGTATGCTGGAAAGTGACCTGAAAATGAGTAAATCTCATGCTAATGTGGTAAGCTTAGATGAGAATGTGTCTAAGCGGTAGACCTTAATGAACTTATATGAGCGAAACGAACTATTTTTAACGAACGAAACAGCCATTGAAAACAGTACAAACATCGGCACCGTTATATAATATTGTAATTTCATGCATTTTTATAATTTAGTATCATCTAAACCTGAGACCAGCCGACATATTGTTTTGAATATACGACGCTGTGTCAGCCTTGTAGTAGTCGTTGACTTATTATCGTTTTACTTTCCAAGTTTGGCTGATTAGATCTCCTGTGAGATCCAACGTTCAATCAAGCAGAACCTTCGTTCACAGCTTAGCACTTTCATGTTGAGTTGTCCACGTTCAACCGACACCGAGTTAAATTTAGATTAAAGTTGTGTTTTCTATACTTGTCTTGCTTATTTTAGTACATTAATCGGAACTCTGAGTGGGATATGAAATGCAGATAAACTTGGTAAAAAATTCCCAAATACTTGATTTTGATAAGCTTAAATGATTTTTACCTTGTCTTTTGTTTACACTTTTGCTTTCTGATTGAAAAGATAACAACGGTAAAGAAATCCCCTATAAGCTTGTTGGAACACGTATTTATAGGTCGACAGATCTTTTGGATCAACACTGAAAATGTTTGCAAATAAGGCTACTTATTTTGATGTATGTCGGTAGGAGTGTTCTCTGACTGTGACCCAAGCACCCTTAGCCTTTACCACTCCATGTTCAACTGCAATTTTGTCACCCTAGTTATTCTGGACGTATGTCTTTGTAATGTGTGTGGAACAAAAGCCTACGCTTTGTGAGATACGTGTGACCTTGTGTGGTACGAACCCCGCTTGTTTTGACAGCATTTAATAATAAACCAATAATTGAGAGTCCACCAACATATTTCATCTCTAGATTACTTAATCCACGAGTTTGGCCATAGGTCTCCTTTGATTGTTGTTTTGTTATACTTTAAAGGTCAGCCTTTCTAGACATTTCAATGACAAAGGGTTTAGTGTTTCGTTTTTCTGAGCGCATTTTATCAATTCCTGCACGTTGAACCAGCCATGACAACGTCTGCGAAAGTTACTGAAGTTAACAACTCAGTGTACTGACTACTATAGCTGCGTTTGACGAAGGAGATCAGGTCCTTATTTGGTGGGTGTTATGGGATCTCGCTGGTGGCCTGTGCATGCAAAGCGCAACGATTCTGGGATTTTTCGTTCACATTTCTTCCATTTTGGGCCGCGCAAAGCAGTTTATAAGTCGTGGATGTCCTATACCGTCAAAGTGTTCCAATTTGTGCCTAATATTCGACGAAAATTTGGTTTCACATGGAGGAAAGACTCGATTTAATGCCTTTTAACGACTTCTACCCTCTAGTTTTGGGACTCGGGACAAAGTTAGACAAAATACGCGTCTCAAATGATTCAGTTATATGAATAAGTGCCTGGGGCCTTAAGCTTTTGTAAATGCTAAACAGGGTGCACTGGGAGGCCCTGTGCATGGCCTCATGGTTAGTGCGCTTGTCTCCGGATCGAGCGGTCTCGGTTCGAGCCCTGGGGCCTGTTTCTCGAAAGCCCCGGAAGGTTTTCGAGCCCGAAGAGCCATTTTTAGTTAATCAGTATTTAAAGACAGAGAGGTGTATTAGCCTAAAACTTCTTGTACGGAATGGAACCTCTGTTTATATTAAGAGTATATGAATAAAACAGCTCTGTAAATCACAGGGTTTGAGATTTTGCTACGGCTTTTCGGATGCGAAAACTTTTCGGGACCTTCGAGAAACGGGCCCCTGGCGAAGGACATTGCGTTGTTTTCTTGCGCAAGACACTGTGCCTCTCTCCACCCAGGTGTATAAATGGGTACCGGTCAACTTAATGCCAGGGGTAACCCTGCTATGGACTAGCATCCCATCCAAGGGGGAGTAGAAATACTCCTTGTCGCTTCATCCTACAGAGACCGGGATAAGCTCCGACCTGATGGGCCACTAGGTTCGTATGCCGTGCAGACTTTAAATGGGTGCACTGAAATGAAAATAATAATAAATGCTAAGCTAAAACTACATTTTTGCAAACTGACTAGAAGTGTACAAATTGAACTGAGTTTTGAATATACTCGGATATCATACAACCGACTAAATTTACCATTTGGACTAAGTTGTGCTTCAAATTAACACTGAACTTTTAAAACTGGACTGTAATTATAATTGGTTGAGATTTATTGTAACCGTAGCTTTGATGTAAGTGGGTAAAGCGTGAAGTTGTTGTATGTGCAGTTGTCTTTTCCTCGTGTATATGACCTTCCCTTTCGGAAAGGGGAGCCTATATTGTTACACTGAGAAGGAACGTTGTGTCACTGAAGAGGGTTGTATGAAAGATAACAAAACTGAACGATGCCAACTGTGTTACCTTTTTGTAAATAAATTTTTACATATCAATGGCAACTCCAAGAACGTGGAAGAAGAACTGAAACGGGGAACTGGTAAGAACTACTCGGAATAACCAAAGAATTAACCCTGATGAGTACCAAAATTAAGTATCTAGAGGCAACGAAGCGTTAAAACGTGAAAGAAAAAAACATAGCAGATAGAGAAGACATCGGCAAGCTGACATTGAGTTGTTGCAAAACATAAAATACACAAGGTTATAATGAGTATTGTAACTGGAATGTGAAGACGATGAGCAGCCAAACTTTCTACTTCATAACTTGCTCGTCAAAATACGTTGTATGTATATCGTCAGCTCTAATTAATGTGCTTTGGGAAGAATTCTTCGTGCTGCCAGTGCTTCATAGTACGGCATGCACTCTTTCACTACTGTAGCTACTTCTGGTGGCATATCTTTAACAGTGCTAGGTGCCCCAGGCGCTATGAAACCTGAACTCTTCATAACCTCATCGTGCCATGCCGTACATGGACCCCAGTCGGCGACAGGACCCGGTTGCCACGATGTCATGTGTTTTTCGTACTTAAGACCAACTGCCTCACAGTAGCTCTGCATAATGTCGTTTGGAAACTTCAGAAGATCAGCGGCATCCACGACAACCGGGTTTTTATGAACGTGACGATCAACAAACTCGTACAATTCCAGCAACTGTCGAAAGCCGGCCTCTGCGGGATCGAAGTAATCCCATCCCGCAAGCTCGGGGTTTGTCGATAGTCTGAACAGGGAGCTGACTGCTGGTTTGGGATGTCGTATCATAAATGTGTGTTTGAAATTCCTAAAGCCCTCTTCCAGAAAGATGTCGAACTTTCCCTCGACACAGTACGCCATATCTTTGACGAAGACGAATTCTTTGCTATCAAAATCTTGCTGAAGCATCTTGCAGACTGATTGGTAGCTTGACCGTGAAAAGGCCTGCAGAGATTCAGCACACGCTGGTCTAGAACTTTTCTTCTCAGGGCTGTAGTAAAACAGAGTTAAGAACGGCTCGTGGAAGACCTGCCCATTGCCTAGGGTCCTGACTGATCTCTCCACTGCTGTAGCGACGCATCTTGGTGCGCACCAAAGGAATATACCAGTGTTGACCATCCTGAAACTAAATACAAAGAAGACAACAGCTATTTGGAGAGTAAATTGTCTAAATTCTTGCCAGAAAAAGCTGAATTGCATTCGGAAGCGTTCAGGTGAATTTTAATGACTGTAATTTGGCCCGCCCAGTCTTTATATCCTCTTGGTCTTTAACTCTGAATTGCCTCTTTTCTCGTTTTCCAATTTTTGTTGTTGTTGTTGTTTGCTAAGTTACTAAATAAATCCCATAAATCAGACAGGCCACAGAGTAACTTATAGGTAAAAAAAAATAGAGTCCTAAAGAACAGTTAATTTCAGATGTAAGGCGAAGGTCATTGTAGTACCCCACTTCACAAACCTTGGGTCTACAGCAATACTCTTTAGCTCTTTCATAACCCGCGTAACATGAGGCGCTCTTTTTTCGAATCAAACAACCCAATTAAGCCGGGTGAACCGTGACGAGCCTGATGGCGCACGCTACCATTTGATAATACATGAGTTATAATCACTGGTATTATTAACCATTAAGCCACATATAGCAGACGCCATTCTAGCAGAACATCAACAGATAACTTGTTGCAAGCAAACACGGCATCTTTTCTCGCTTCGCTGAGCTAAAAGGTATGTAAAATATAGTTAGCAGAACGCTAATCACGGAAAAAGATTAACTTTCAATGTACGTGATAAACTCTATGCCTCATGCTCTCTAAACTGTAGTTAAACCAGTGAAAGTGAAAAACAACTTTTTTTATCAGCTGAGCAATCGGAAATAATGCGAGTTTTTTGACTGAATCACTTCAGAGCCCGATGTTGAAGTTTTAATACCGCGTTAAAATGATACCAATATCTGTTCTTTTGTCTTTATATTCGAAGTCAATCTGACTGATTCGCTAGTGCGTGATCTTTCATATTTTTTTCCTTGTGAATGAAATCTTTGCCGCCATTTGCAGTGACTAGCGAAAACCGAAAAACATTTCCAGTTTCATAAATTCCCCTGCAAGATCTCGCTCGTTTGAGTTTCCAAGTATCTATGTAGGATTACGATCACTGACTTTTAATGCCTCTCGAAACACGATGATGATATCAAATTGTTTTGAAATTTAGGACTTCTAAACATCCATAATAACTGTCAATCCCTCTAGCTTTATCTCCTTTTCGTTAAAGTTAACATTAACTGTCTTAACTATCAAACTAGATTATAAATACCTTAACGTTCGAATTTTGCCTCCAGATAGCGTTTGATCCAAGTTTTACCAAAAAATGCACTCGTTAACTATCAAAAAAGGGTTAACTGACGCGGATCATTTACACCCGCTTTCAGTGTTACTTGCATAGGCGACATCTTTAGACCATCTTTCGACATGCTATGTAAACGGCCGAAAGACCGTTAAACTGTGAAACTGGTAGTTTTTCCGGTTATTAGGGTAGGAAATGACAAGTAAATGATAATTACTTACCTCAAATGGCCGAAGAAGATTGTGGACTTTGCATGTTTCCCGATTTACGGGATGATTCAAGCGATTTTAGTGTAGTCGATCGGTTCTCAATAGTGACTTCCGGTAGAATTGGGTCGCTGCCGCTTTTAATATTCGCAACGTGTAGACATTCAAAGCAGTCGACTTATTTCTCCCAGAATGACTTCTTGATACTCCTAACCTTAATGTGATGTCAAATAAATCAATCTTCGAGTTCGACCGTAAAGAAGTCCGTTGTGCTTACATTTTTTAAGTAGGACACGTTACATAGCAGGTCGAAAGATTGCATGTCGAGAGATAGGTACTATGCACGTAACACTGAAAGCGGGTGTAACATTGAAGTACACGGAATAAATGCACGATGCGGTCTAGTGAACATGCTAACATCAGGTAACAAAGCCTTCTCAGATCAGAGTATTAAAAAGCTTTGTCGACAAATACCCATATATCTATATATACTCTTGGCTCCAGCGCTCTTTGTTAGGACTCTGTTAGGTTGAACTTACATGTAAGAGGCGGAGAATCAACCTTAGTTTTAAGAAATTAATAAACTGAATGGAATAATGCATTCAATTACGGTACGATCTTTGAAAGGGTCATGGACATTGTCATAAATATTCCATTTGGAATCTTTATACTATTAAGACCAATGGCATGCCAGATTTGAAAACAACAAGCATTAATTATGGTTAATGAACTTCCATAAGTTACTGAGGAGACAAAGAACTAAAATTTTCAAATCATAAGATCAATTTTTGTACGTTTTTAAAGTGTTTCAGTCACTGTTAGCTTTTAAATTCATACAACTCGTGATTAAATGGAAGAAAGCTATGTTTCGTGACTGTAAATTTCCGCCAGGTCAGTTTTCCCATTCTTGTGGTTGATCGAGCATCAAATAATAAAAGCATTCCATTGTATGAAACGAAACGGTTCATAAATAATCTAAGTGGTGCCTACAGTTTCTGTGATAAACTCATATGCAAAATTTAACACTAAAATTGAACTGTAAAATCAAAGACGGGTATTATACAGGTTGATGAAGTTAAACGAAAACATACTTGTTATTTGAAAGACCTTGAAACAATATTTGTCACACGCTGTCGAAAAGTCTGGGGAGGTCTGGATACTGAAAAAAAAACCGCTGGTCCAGTCTTTAGACAAGAGTTTCATAGCAACGGAGTAACCAATCAGAAGGCAAGAGAGTTGCTATCCGAGACCTGGCGACATAAACCAAACGACTATCAATAATGGCTTCCAAAACGCCTTGAGTCTGAAGGCGTCTTCAATTATCCCTCTTCATTCCACCTTCAGAGAAGCCTAGAAACGTTTGTTATGGCTGAAAATGAATTCGAAGGAGAAATAAGTGACAACGAGAGCGATGTAAGCTTACACGGAGAAAGTGAATGCGAGGGCGAAGACAGTGGAGGAGAAGATGTTCGCGAGCCAGTTACGGAAACGACACCAGATGATCGAACTGCCACCCCGAAGAAAGGCAAGGCTAAAAAGAAGAAAAAGAAGTAAGGAAATAACCAAACAAAAATATACAAGTGAAAGTCTTAGCAGTTCCTTTCAGTGTGCCTTGCTAGCTAGTAGAGATTCTTTTGCGAATAATTGCGATTCGTTCTTTCCGTTCTTTTAGATGGATGAATGCGTGCTTGACCAACTGCAAGTATGAAAGCGGTGAGTGTTTTTGTTTGTACATGTGTAAAATATAATTACACTGTCGTTGAAGTACTTGGCTATCAGCTATGTTTAATGCTGCTCGATGCCTTTCGTCTAAACAGTTCGCAGGGTAACTAAACGATTCGGGATGAAGGAGGTCGGAGAGGACGAAGACTGGGCTTTATTCTGGACCGATTGTTCTGTTGCTTTGGAACGGTGCATGGACATGAAACGCTACCAGGTTAGACAAAAATATATTAAACAGCTAAGTGAAACAACAATTCACCCACTATTTTGATAAATGTATACTTCGAGACGCTTAGTATGCTTAGGGATCCTTAGCTCTAGCGTGCATGAAACGTTGAGAAGTTGTTTGCAAAATAATGTCAGCTGAAACTTCGTAAACATGAGCTCAAGTCTTAATCATTTGTAAGGCACCTGTTCGGAGTTTTTGCGTCGAGTTTCTTCCTGAAGTGATATTTCTCAAGAGGAAAATTTATTCGAGGGAAACGAGTTGAAACATAAGGTGTCTTTAGTATTCAATTGGCCATGAAATATTGCTTTCGGTTTCTTAATCCTTAACACATAACACACTGCACCAGCTTTCAATTTAGTAAGTTCAAGTTTGCGTGTACTATATAATCCAGCTGATCTCTTATACTTACGTGTGCACCATCAAAACACATAAAGTTAAATTGAACTAGAAACACAAAATTGAGGAAGAGGAGGATATGCAGATGGATCAAGAAAATCATAAAATTAGAAAAAATCTCACTAAAAATTTCGAGCTGCTTTACATAATACGCTTATTACTGTGTTTGTTGACAGTGTCAGTAAATAAAGTGAGTTGCTGGTATTATTAACTTTTTCCAGATGTTAATTATTTGTGTTAAAGAGTGACATCTGAGAATGACCTTCAAGGAAAAAAGAGAGGAACAAAATAAAATGAAGCTGGGACACCTGATAGCGCACTTAATAAAATGTAATTGTGCACCAAAATTAATGATTTAAACCCCAAACAATTGATCAATTTTTCCAAACTCTCAAAATATCCTGTAATATATTCACATAACATATATATATAAAACAGACAAACTAGAAAAAAAAAGCGATAAAGATCTGAGTTTCATAACTCAATAGACTTCTTAAATACTCTTCACTCCCAATATTTACAAATAATTGACCCTTGTTGTTCTTTGAACAGAAAATCAACCATTTCCCTGGTATGAGTGAGATATGCCGTAAAGATCTACTGGCAAGGAACATGAACCGTTTGTGGAAGCAGTTTCCAAAAGATTATGCTGTATTTCCTAAAACATGGTGCTTACCAGCAGAGTAAGTCAACTGTTGTACATTACACATGTACATGTAGTAACTAGTTAATATCAATCATATTGCATGACTTTTTAGTTGTCAAAAACAACAGCAGTAAAACAAGTACTTGTACACATTCAAACCTTAAATTTTTCAGATCAAAAATTTGTCTGGAAATGTTTCAACAGTGTTTCATTTGTCATCTTATAGTTATGGAGAATTCCAAGCTTACTGCAGACAGAAGAAGAACAAAACATTTATCCTCAAGCCAGACAGTGGTAGCCAAGGAAAAGGGATTTTCCTTACCAAGAATCCAAAGGTACACCTGTACATGTAACTGCACTGCATGTGAGCATCAGTTTGCTCTCAATAATGAGAAGTTATTAAGTGACTTTATTCAGCTTGCCAGGAGTTTCAGAGCATGGGGCAATGCAAAAATTCTGAGTTCCAGACAGTGTAAACCCTTGACCTTCTGTGCAGTGGACTCATCACTGAGGTCACTGGGAAGACTTGTGCCAAGTTAGGTTATTTACTAGGCTCATGCAGAAACAAGTATGTGACATAAAGTACTGCATCTGCATAGTAGTAGGACTAGTAATGTTGGCGGTGCCAAGTATGGTCACATGATAACTGACAGTGATGGTGAATTTTCTTTCAACATATTATTGTAATGATAGATAAAGTCAATATACCTCTTATTCTTGTACTGTGCAATTAGCTTGTTTCCTACCTTCTTCTTAAAAATTAGCTAACTTTAATAATTAATTTGTTCAACAGGATGTCAAGCCTGGAGAGCACATGGTTTGCCAGCAATATGTGTCCAAACCCTTTCTGATTGATGGATTCAAGTTTGACTTAAGGGTGTATGTGCTGGTCACTTCATGTGATCCTCTTCGAATTTTTGTTTATGAGGATGGCCTAGGAAGGTTTGCTACACTAAAGTATGTGGATCCAAGCAACAACAACCTTGTGAGTAAAGTTGATAGTCTATTGACTATAGTCTATAGAAAATTTGATTTAAAGGGTGCATAAAAAAGGGTAGCAACAGGTTTACTGTATGTATGAGATGTTATCAGTGAAAAGTAAGTCAAACAAAAATATAATTTGTTTCAAAAGTATATTATTTTGATTAAAGCAAAGATATAATTAAAACAAAGAAAATGCTCTCTGCCTCATTTCTGAGAGAAACTGAGGTATACTGATCACCTCAGCTGTCAATGAACCAGGGCTTCTGATGGATCACGGAAGAAAAGTCAAATTTTGCGGTATTTTCAGAGGCAAATTCTCAGAAAAAACAGCCAACTTTGCAAGAATTTTTGAGCAAATTTCACAGAAAAACAATCAGTAAAAACAGCCAATTATATGTGTGTTTTGTGAATTTTAGAAGCCTTGATGAACTAGTTAATGAACATTTTTGTTTGTCATAACCCTTATCAAATGTTCATTTTCCTTTCAGGATGACATTTGTATGCATCTGACAAATTATGCTGTAAACAAGCATAGCAAAGACTTTATTAGAGATGAAGAAACTGGAAGTAAAAGGTAGAATTACATGAAGTAATTTGGAAAATTTATATTTTTGTTATTGTTTTGAAAAGCGATGAAAAGATATTTGCAATTTATTTTTCGACTTTAGTTTGATGACCTTGGAATGAAACACATTGTTCATTATCTAATTAACTAGCTTTCTTTCTCCAGCCTGGAATCTTGTAAGATGGGCAATTAGTATGTAATTTAATATGGTTTTGAAATCAATTATTTGAAATAATTTTGTACAGTGTTCAAGTCATGTTACAAATCCTTTTCAAACGCCATAATTAAAAAAAATATTATTTCAGACGAATAACAACAGTAAACAAGTGGTTTGAAGATAATGGTTACAATGTGAAAGAAATCTGGGACTCTATAGAGGTAAGTAAAGCCCTGGTCAATGTGTACACTACTTACAGAATAAATTGATCATCAACATTTACACCACCAACTGGAGATTGTCCATTGCCTACATAAGTTGAACTATGCTTTTTTAAATTTTAATGATTCACCATTTTTGCTTTGGATGTATTCAAATTATTGATATGGAACTTGCATTATAACATGTGTTTGTTTGGCCCAGTACCCTTTCTGTGCATAATTTTTGTTGTAGATAAAATGATCACAATAGTATAACCTACACATATAATCGTGAAGAAGTCGTCCTACTTGAGTAACTAATTTATTAGTTTTTCAGTAACTTATTTGAAGTTGTCTATGATTTCTTTTCAGGATGCTATCATAAAAACCTTGATCACTGCACATCCAATACTGAAGCACAATTACAGAACCTGTTTTCCAAACCACAACAAGGGGAGTGCTTGTTTTGAAATCCTAGGCTTTGACATCCTGTTGGATAAGAAGTTAAAAGCTTGGGTTTTAGAGGTAACTATAAGACATTCAATGTTATAATCACTATAAAGTCATTATAAGACCATGAACCCCAGAAATATAATTTGTGGAATGTTATTGTGTACAATGTGCTGAACTTTGCTCTTGATTTCCAGGTTAACCACTCTCCTAGTTTCACAACTGACTCACCTCTTGATAAAGAAATTAAAGATGGACTGATGTTTGATGCTCTTAATCTGCTCAACTTTGGAGCATGTGATCGGCGGAAGATACTTGAAGAAGACAAAAAGAGAGTGCGGGACAGACTTTTGCAAAAACAAAGACCCAAGGAAGCTAAGTATGTATGATACAGTTTAAGGCTCAAGAGTAAATTACAGCTATGGAAGTAACAACAAAACTATTATGAGCAATATTTTAAACACAGAATATGTGCAGAAGTGTAATAATTGTATAATTATTATAGTCATTATGGATGTCACTGTAGCTGTATCTCTTTGTATGCATTGCGGGCCTACGGTACTAGGTATTCATTTCAGATAGCTTTGATAAGATTTTGACAAGCCATTTACTGAATCTACTCCTGAAGTTCTACAACTGAAGTTGTGTTCTTAGGATAACTGAATCACCAACATGCCTTGATTTCTACATGTAAGCCTGATCATTGACTTGCGCTGCACCCTTATCAACTATCATGCAATAGGAAATAATTCATGAAGGACTAATGTTTCTATTTTGCTTCTTCCTTCGTATTCCAGGAAGGAAGATTTTGACAACCAAGTGCAGTACACTGAGTGGTTGAAAAAGTATGAGGATGCTCACTTGGGTAAATACAGGTAAGAAAACTCAAGTGATATGTGAGGGGGATATTGGGAGTTCTGAGCACTGCAGTGTGCAAAAAGTTCAGCAAATCCCACAATATTGCAAAAAAATCGCCAAATGCTACAATACTTCAATACCGAGCTGAAACTTGATATCATACCACTGCACTGTGTGTTAAGTTTAGAGCAAACAACAATTCAGAATTTGATAGCGAAAGGTAAGTCAGGTAATTTTTGATTTAGACAGAAATAATCAAAATAAGTAACATTCGTTGGTGTGTTGGCAAATAATTAACAAAAAATGACTTGCCCTTTTTCGATTGCGACACAAGGAATTACAGTTTTCTGTTACCATGAGAGCTAAGCTTCATTGGGAATGCCCAATCGGAAACTGGAAAAGGCTGAACGTTTTTCGAGCACCTTTCCTTCGTTTGTAAAGCTAACGACATGGCTAAAGCATTAACCAAGTAAATTATCGATTGCCTTCCTCTTATTTCAGACGTATTTATCCAGAAGGAAATGAAGAAAAATATGCAATTTTCTTCGAAAACAGTTGCTCACTGTTCCAGGAAACTGCTGCATCCAAGGCGCGTATTGAGTGTGCCAGGTGAGAGCTGTTCTTATTCTTTTTATATAAAAGTTCTATGTGGCATAAGTTGTTAAGTTAATTTTTTTGTGTTTGTCTTATTTTGTTTTTGTAGAGTTCAACGGGAACAAATCATGGCTAAACAACAAGAGCAAGAGAATGCTAGGCTCAAAAACAGTGGCAGGGCTCCCAAAGGATCCAAAGATGGCCTCAGGCCAGAGAGCCCCCATAGTCGTAGGCCGAGGAGACCCCCTGTTAGAAAGACAATTCAAAGTAATAAAGCTAGATTCGAGGTACGTATCGTTTTTCTGTACTAGCAAATTAATGGATGGTCGCTACAATGCATAAAAGAAGCTAAATACGTCGGACTTCTCTTGCTCGTGCTTCTGTTTGATGTTCCACGGTTAAGTGGAAATAATGCATGCGGCTGCTCTCTGAGCCAAATGAGTACCGTGATCTCATGCACAATATAAAAACGCTTTGTTCAACAAATTTACAATCGTTTTTATTTCAGGGTGGCAAAAGAACTGGCCAGGAGCAATACGACACCAGCAAACCAGTGGCGATATCAGAAGAGGAGGAGCTAGAGCGAATCACCTCTCTCCTTCAGCGGGACAATCTTATACGAGGGTTAGGTGTGGTAGAATTTGTCTATAAACTGTTACACTGTACACCTGGTACAGGAGGTCCACAGAAAAACTGCTCGTTACACCATTCGGTGAGTTACAAGAGGATTGCTGCTAATTACGTAGCTACCTTACTAGTTGTTGTTAGTGCTATTACCATGTGACTGTTGGTATTTCATGGGATAATTCACGCAATATATTTCTAGTGAACTATGAGAGATTGTTAAAGGAGCCACGTCACAGTTTGTTCATCTTAACTTAAAGTGTAGCTTAAATTTTCAATTTTGTCACGCGTTTGTCATCCGCGTTAACTCCAACCTTAACTATCCTTGGTCCTTTGTGCTTTATTTTTATCTCTTTGGTGTTTTTCTATCTTAGAAAACTCTTATATTCTGGTTTTCTCCAACTTAAAGGTGACTGAGCTCCTTTAAGACCAGCATGCTTTGCTGAATGACCCTGAATGCTTGGCATACTTGTGACTTCTATAGAGAGCATAGAAGTAGATACATTTTGTAAAACAGGACTTCTATTTGTAGCAAAGAACAATCTTAGTAAATGGTTTGAACCCAGCAGTATCAGTAGTTCGTATAGTGTGATGTCTAACATTTTTGTCCAAGTGGCTGCCAAATAAAATATTAACTCATCTCTCTTTACCCTTCCCAGAACAATCACAAGGATTCTTCGTCCAAAGGTAGCCTGGGAGACAAAGCTTCCTCCATGTATGGCTCCATGGGATTACTATCCACGTCAGGGGGAGTAACCGCTGGTAATAACGTGGTCGCGTCTCAATTATCTCGGTTCCAGAGCTATCAGCCCGCGGCTCTGTCAGCGGTAATGAACCTAAACGGCATCAATCAACAAACACCTCCGACCTTGACACGAAACGATCGACGAGCTTTAGCGTCCGTTGGCATAGTACCATCGGCGCCCACAGGGCTGCCGAAACACAGGTATGGCTCGCGGAAGGTTCCAGGAAACGCCAGGAATGTTATCGGTAATCCAGATTACGACTGGAGATCAGGAACCACACCAGGGATTGAGGCAACCAGCCTTGCCTACGGTATGATTGATCCCAGACTGGACAATCAACCGAACTCGACTATTAAGAGACGGACGTTAAGCGCTACAGGGTTTAAAACCTGCGCGGACCCGGTGCAAGGGAACGCAACGCGTGTGATGAATCCGCGCGTGTTTGCCGCGAGTGTCGCGGGAGGCTCGGGGGGATCACAGACTAATCTGTCTAGTCCAGGAGGTGTGTCGCCTAGTGCACAGCAGTACATGTGTTCAATGTATACGTTTCCTAATGTGCTGAAAGTAGCGCCTCAGCCTCAAAATGGAATGAACTTGTCTGTGATATCTGGCCCGGCACCTGTGAGTTATCGACCCAGTCCCACTAACACGAGTACTGTGGGACCTGAACAGGCTAACTCCTCACACAGACTCACTGGCTCGCCATCAGGACTTCTGAGGTGAGTACCCGGATGAAGTTAGAACCAGTCGGTTTAATCTAATATTCATGTGAGGGGAAGGTTTTCTACTGAATTGGCTTTGGAATTAGTTAAAAATGTTGTTGAGCGTGCACTACTCAGGCAGAACGAATATGTTTTTTTTTTTTTATCAGTCATATCATTTAGAATTTGTTTCACGCTGTTTTTCTCGCCCTTTACATTTTTGCGTCGCGTTCTGAGTTCTGTTCGAATTATCATTTTGTTATACTAATTTTGCTGCCGAGATCGCAATACTAATTTCGTCCTTCAAGTCTGGTAGCCCCTGGAAGATAATTTGTGTTACTTTCTAACTCAGGGTCTTCAGAACCGATCTATGCAGGCAGTAGTATTACACTAACCTTCATTTATCTTTCCCAGGTCAACTAAAGCCCAGAGAGCTCGCGGGGCTACGAACAACTTGCGCTTAAAGGTAAATTAGAATCTTCACTGTTGTTTTGTGTAGGTTTTTGTTAACACTCGGTAAATAATCAGAGTAAATAATGTCACAAAAGAGAAGAATCTCTATCATTACTGTATGCCAACAACGTTGCTTAGTAACCCGACTCGAAGGACTGTCGCAATGTAGTATGAGAAAACTTTGTTCAAGCTAATTCTTTTTCTATTTGTCTTTGTCATTTACAGCAGCTGGAACTTCGTGAAAATCACGCCGTAGCGTTGAGCTGAGCAAAGGAACTAACCAACTTTTCCACTCGCCAACTACGAAAGCCAAGATCTTGAATCCAGCGTGGAGTGTGCGAGCCTAAGACCGCCCAGGACAAATATAAAAAAGTCCACAAATGATTGAAATTTATGTCCAATTTTAGCGCAAATACAAAAACAGAATTTCCAATTCGTGTACATTGTAAGTGGATCTATCTGCCCCATGTATATAACTCTATCGTACGTGTAGGTAGAAATTGAAAGTAAATAATATATAGGATTTTAGTGTGAAGTTTTTAGGCCATTATCAAATCTTTGTTTAATAGACTTCTTAACGCTTAAGAAGCGCGTGTATAAAATTTCGAATGACATTTGTATTTTAACAAAAGATGCTGTAATTGCAGCTATGGCGTGGTATATGTATTTTGCTTCCAAATGATAACTATATCTGAATTTATATTTGTATAAAGGACGTTTTCAAAATGCAATGTTTTATGATCAACATGTATTTGTATCAACTTTGAAAGTTTCTAGGATAATTGAAGGAACGTGATTATGAAAAAAGAAGAATGAAGCCATACGTCTCTCTGGTCTCAGTTATTTTTCCCTACGCCTAAGATGAATGCTAAGTGGAATGCGCCGCAAACTTTCTATGTATTTATTGGCCCAATTTCGCTGTTACTGACTTCATCTGAAACACTCACTGTTCTCCCATGGGATTCTCCCTTGTTAGAGAGGAGCAAGCAATTTTCAGTAAGAATTAAAGTAAACAGTACAAAAAAGAAAAGAGAATGTTTCCTTTCCTATTTCTCGTTGACCTTCCAGATGGGTATCATATTATCCTGGTTCATAATAGACCTTCTTAGCTTGGGCAAGTTGCTGCCCTACTGTTCAAACCGTGCGATGATCTCGCTGGAATTCTTGCTTTCAAATTTTCAAATAGTCTCACGTGGTCTGACACCTCTTAGAACTATTAAAGAAGGGAAATATTATGTGCAGCACAATTAAAGTGGATCTCGTGGAAATTTGTAAAAAACGCCAAACTTTGATGTGTCACGTTTTTTGCGTGACTCAATGCATCATGTGACGTAGTCGTCGTAGGAAGCGTGACAGCGTTTACTTTGGGTCGTCCGGTGGTCCTTCAAAAAAATTTATGTTCATCGGAACGGTCACTGAAGAAACTGGATAAAAAGGCCTGGCAAGAAACGGTACAGCTATAAGACAGGACACCGAATTAAGCGTTTTAATTCGCTTTTCGTGGGAAAACCGGTAAGCGTCGAAAAATTGCCACGATTAGCATGGCGGACGAACAAAGGGATCCGTTAGCAATAAATTTCGCCGTCGTTAACCAGAGGAAAGCTCCGCTTTCATGGCGAACACGGATTTGTTATGGTGTAGGGCATGTGCTTAATGATCTGTGTGCGTCGATGTGGTTTACGTATCTCCTGGTGTATCTTCACAAAGTGGTAAAATTTTCAAATGCGAGCGCCGGAACGCTTCTGTTGATAGGCCAAGTAGCTGATGCAATGTGTACTCCTCTCGTTGGAATCGAATCAGACCGTACAGGCCGCTTTAAATATGGCAGACGAAAGATTTGGAATCTCGTCGGAGTTACGTCCGTGGCGCTTAGCTTTCCGTTCGTGTTTAATCCGTGCCTAGGCTGCGAGAACTCAGAACAATGGGCAAAGTTTCTTTATTACACACCGTTTATTGTAATTTTTCAGTTCGGATGGGCAGCGTCGCAGATATCTCATCTAAGTTTGATTCCAGAACTCACCGAGGATGACAACGAAAAGTGTGGTCTGAACGCAATCAGGTACGTTTGAAATAATCAGTTGTACGTACGAACAAGTTGTAAAATAGTTTTATCGCCACGCACGAGTGCACACGAGTCATAGCGTAAAACTATTAATTTAAAGCCATTTCTACTTAATTTGATATCTATCTTCCTCAGACTCTTAACTATGGTGAACCTACATATATTCAATGATTTTTTTATCTGTTTTTTTTTTTGTTTTATTAGTCCTACGAATACGATGAATTATATGTACTTTCGCGTATATCTAACTGATTAAATCTTTATTCAAGTACCTCTAATGAGGTACTAATGACTTTAAGAGGTCTTTAAACGCTTACGAGGTCACAGTGTTGACAGGAAAAAAGCAGGAGGGCGGGAAAGGCCCCAGGAATGAGGCAAGACATTTTAGGACACTTTTAAAGTAGTTCATGAAATGTGTATAGAGAATTTTATGACTCGATTATTTTCCATTGGTTTATACTTCTCATTTTATTTGATTTGTAGGTACGCAGCAACTGGTTCGTGTAACATTTTCGTGTTTATTGTCACCTGGGTGCTCCTGGACACGAGTGAAGCCAGCACCAGTTCAGACAAACTGGGCTCCGCTGATGCTTCTGCATTTATGGTAAGTGGATTGTGTTCATTGTTGTGCCCAGACACAAAGCACAAAGCGCTGTGAATAGACCTGGTCACGTGGTACTTCTCTTTATGCTCTTTGGGCTCGTCACACACTCAAGATTGCGTGACAAGCCCAAAGAGCGTCTGCGAAGGAAGCTACTATGAGTTACTATGTAAAGAGATGATGATGCTGAGTTACAGAAAACTCAACCTTCCAAACAAAGCAGTTCGCATTGCCAAGCTTATGTTTTGAACTACAATTGCTTTGGAAGGGTGTTACTTTTTTGCAGCGATCGAGCTCGAGTATATGGCTGAACCGTGACCTTGCGACGGGCCCACTTGAAACAAAGCTCTCAGCCAAGCGTGGCTATCCACTACTTCTCGCGGTCGGAGCAAGTCACCTCAAAAGTCACCGGGCGCAACAATGCTCTTGGCTCTGAAAAATTCAATTCACATTAGTGTTCTCATGAAAAGTGATTCTAGAAGGGTACAAGGCTTATTGACCAGGCGTCGGGGACTCTTAATCTCTGGTCGCTCACCCACTTTTGTCAATGGATGCTCCTCTTGCCAATCACTTCAGTATGCTACAGCTATCCCCAACTATCTAGCTATCTCCTCCCGAGTAGGCTTTAAAAGTCTACTGTATTCTGAGCCGTTGACTGTTTTAAAAACTCGCTATAATCAAGCTCATCTCAATAGATTTCTCAAAGATGTCTTTGTGGAATAGATGGCTCTGTTACCGTTCCAATACAGTATTTACTCATAATTTATCGTACTTGTTTCCAGTACGTGGTGTTCATAGTTGTTGGAACGGGTATTTTCTTCTCGATCGTCTTTCACGTGGGAGTTAAGGAAGACCCACGTGACTGTAGTGCTCAATTCGCCACCAAGTCAAGCAAGAGGTCGGCTGGCAATTGGACTGCTTGGTTCCAGGAGCCACTCTTTTATCAGGTATGGGTATCGTCTTTGCCACTAGGGAGTAGTAACGTTCGATCAGTCTATGTAAGAAATGGTCGACCATAGACCTTATCATGGTTTTGGAAGCCATCTTCACGCTGGTAGGCAACACACGACAGAAATTACAGTGTTTGTATGGGAATCTGATGGCTAATATGAATTCTGAAGTATTCTGGATAGCAAAGTATAGACTCTAGGCAAGGGATTTCATTAATCAAATTTGACACGCGTTCAGTCGCCTTGAACAGTCTACATTTTTTCAGTTCTCTGCGACCTTGCATAGACATGTGAAAATCTGTACACGAATGTATGGAGAATTAAAAACGCGACTGGGAGATTTCTAACACAGTTCCTTTCCTCAAATTTGGTCAAGGCAATCATTTGCCTAATGTCTTAACTATCCCTCAAGATGACTTTTAAATCTGTGATAAGGTCTGCTCTCCTCGCGGCACTCGCGCGCGAGAACTCGCCATCTACGCAAGCTTCGCCTGTAACAAAGTTATCTTTCCCTTAATGTTTTGTTTCTTTCTAGATAGGAATGCTGTATATGTGTGTTCGTCTGATCATCAATGTCACGCAGTGTTACATTCCAATGTACACCCTGGAGACACTCAGCCTCTCCAAGGTGGGTACCTTGTGTAGTCTTGGTTGAATTACTGAGACAATTACTCTGTTACGAGTCACGCTGTCTTCACATTAAGCGTACTATTGCTAGTCGGCTGGAAGTGATTTGTATTATAACAGGGGTTCAGTCGAACCTTTTCACAACGGCCACCTTGGGGACAGAGCTGGAGGAAAGTGGCAAACTCGTTCCCAGGGTCTCCAGGGGGCGGGAAGATGGGAGACCCTGGGAACGAGGTCTGGGAAAGTGACCGTTGTAGAGAGGCGGTCGTCACGGTTATGAGTTATAGGTTATGGGTGTAATATGACATCTGTTTTTGTCGGGGGTACAACATTTTTATTTGCAAAAGAGATGCTTATTGTAGCATATAAGTCTATTATTATTATTATTATTATTATTATTATTATTATTATTATAAATACGTACGATAATCAAAATATATCAATACAAAAGAAACCGATCAGAAACCGACAACGCACCTTACGGATCAAGTTTCATGACCATTTACAATTAAAAAATTTACAAACCGAATGTGGTTTAGAATGTGCTTTGTCTGTACTCTTATCGACAACGATATGCGTCATAACAGTGGTCGAAATGTTGTGGACTCACGAGGCACAGCCGAGTGAGTCCACATCAAATATTGACCACTGTCAATTTTTTTTTGACCACTCTGTTTTTTACCACTCTGTTTTTTACCACAATATCAACGTCAAAGAAAATGGTTTTTTTTTTCAGAGCGTGACTAAGAGCGTGACACATTGACGCGAGCAGCGTTGTCTGGACTCTTATCGACAACGGCAAATTAGCCAATCAGGTTGTGAGATTAGTAGCAATTGTGGTAAAAAATCGGGTTTTATACGCAGCGTTTGTAAGTCGAGAGGGTATTTTAGCAGCCAGGACACGCTTTACTGGCTGTTGTCGTTGTGGAGAGGTGGCCGTTGTAGAGAGAGTATAATAAAAAGTGGCCACTGGGAGGGGTGGCCGGCTGTTAGTGGAGGTTCGACTGTACACGTACCGAATCCGTTTCATCATTTCCGACCTCATCACGTGTAAATGGTCAGGTATACGTAACACGTGACTAAACTTCATTCACCATGCGTCGAGGAACATTGCAGTTTTAATTAACATTTGTGCTCATTTATCTACCAGCGAGATATTGCCATAATGCCATTGGTGGTGTACGTGAGTGGACTGGTGTCTACGTTTTTTACCAAATCGCTGAACAAGTGTCTTGGCAGAAAGGTCAGTTATTATGTCCTTACAGTTGTTCTTGGACTAACAACCACGCGTATAGGGTAGAAAAAGTAGTGGCTCCAGTTGCTCGAAAGGTGGATAATGGTATCCACCGGATAAATCGCCAGCCAGTGGATAAGTGTTAACAAAACAAACCACGCTATCCGCTGGATAGTGATTTATCCAGTGGATAGCGTTATCCACCTTTCGAGCAACTCGGGCCTGTTCTTTCTATATGGAGCATTTTGGCATTAGTAATAGGTGTTTACTATTGGGGAAACGAGATTCGAGATTTTTTAACTCTCTTTCTTTTGTGTTTGTTATAGGCTGTTTTCCTGGGTGGGCTTATCATCATATTAGGAACAAGGTAAGATATATGTTTTTCACAGGAGATTTGAAGGAGGGCGTTCTTCAACTTTTTAATACCTGCTATTATCAGGTGAAGGTACCCGAGATTGACATGATCTACATGCCAACGAGGGAAAGCTCTCGTCAAATCTCATGAAAGGTCATAAGAGCTCACAAGGGTGGATTGTAAGTCAAATTATTATTCTCGCATTTTGATTGGTTTTTACTTATGATCTATTGGAGGACAGACATATAGATTACGTCATAAACATTTTTTGTTTCTTTACCAAGTAAAATAGTTAGTCATGGACTCTATCATAGATTCCATGTTGCGTTTGTTCAGTAACAGATCACAAAAGACCTCAAAATGTGGTAAGAGCATCAGTGACACAGAGTGACACAGAGTGACACATAGTGACACATAGTGACGAGCCTAACGGCTCGTGTTTCACTTTTTTTTTGTTCTTACTACATCTGTGATCTATTACTGAAGAGAACCACGGCAACATGGAATCTATTTGTTAGACAGCATGGTCGGGCGTTGGCTTCAAACCATGGCATGAGAAAGTTGTAACTCTCATCGACTTTCGTCCTTGTTTAATCCGGCTTTTATGTCCTTTGTGAACTCAACAGCACGAAGAATTTATCCTGAAACTGTTTTAACTATTGGTTAGTTAACTAACCGTTTTGGGCAAACTTTTGCTGTCCCTGTAGTGTTTGGTTGTGGCTCATTCCTCCGCACAGTGTTCAGATGTACGGCGCCAGTGTGACATTAGGAGTTGGAGGCTCCACATTACTGGTTACTGTATTGACAATGCTGGCTGATCTTATAGGAGATAACGTGGTAAGAATACTGGACCGTGATAGCTGTTTTGTTTTACTTCTAATATTCACATTTTGCAGAGGACGGATAAAGGCTGGTTCCCATACATTTTTTGCGAACGAAGAGCGTAAAATTTCAGTACAAATAAATAACATTATCTGATGTTTCCCTTTAATGCTGCAGGAAACCGGGGCTTTTGTTTACGGAGCCATGAGCTTTTTGGACAAGATGTCCAATGGTATTGTTATACAAATCGTTCAAGTATTTTATCCCAAGAACAGCGAGAATAGGTAAGTTGCTTAGAAATGTAACAAACCCTGTTCTCTCGGTGCCGTTAGAATATTTCGCTTCCTGAATGTACCTATGCCTTCGGGGGAGTTGATATGTGAAGACGAACAAGGCAAGATCACGTCCTAAGTTCTCTATGTTCAGTCGCCATGATCCCGGCTCGGTTTCTACAGGATCCGATTTTTTCCTTTGTACAGTAGCTAGTAACACTGACATATTGTTTGATTAACAGGGCCAGTGCTGGAGCGCTGTTCTATAGAGAGGTCATGGTGTTAGCATCAGGAGCAGCAGCAGTCCTGGCCCTTTTAACTCTCGCTACACTTATAAAGAAAAACCTGGATGAAACTCGCGCAGGTATACCGAAGACAATTGACGCTATTTTCCAATGAATGTACTGACGAATGTTGACATTGAACCCTTGCAGAACTACACTTCGTGTAAAATTTGTTTAGTTTTTCGTTCTCACTAATTTATAGTTCATTGTCGCAACCCGTATTGATCCGACAGCGGAGGGATAATTCTCAGTTCTGTTACCCCAGATACGCCAACCAGAAAAGCTTTTTGATCATCACGATTTGTTATCAAACACATTTTATACATTCAAAGACAAAATAAGACCACACAAGAAGGAAAACTTTAAGCAGGTTACAATTTTTCATCTCCGATCCTTACTTTCTTTGTTTTAATATCTTAGCGGTACGTGGAGCTGCAGGAACCAATACATGGTTACAGTCTGGTTCGTGGTCCCTGATTTGCTCCAAAGGTCCATTTGTTCCATATGAGCCCTCAGTTCATTTGGCCCAAGGCACAGGAACGTCCCCAGCGGCCCCGGGGTCAATACCTTTGTACGGTTCAGTGGACCTCACTTAAATGACCTACAATAACACAAGTGACTCGAAGCACCTTATTTTCTCTTGCTCGAAGAGAATGCCGTATTCTAAATGGAAAGCTAGAAGTCGCGGTTCTTCGGTACTTCTTTCCGCGAATTGATGCTTCTTCGCTTTATTGCTAACTTAATCATGACAGAAACCTTTTCAAATCTGAAACATTTTCTTCCTCTTAGCCTGCGTAACGAGCGTTCCCGCACCAAGAGCTTTTCCGCGCGAAAATTAGAGCGCGAGCATCTGCTTACAATTCCTGCGAGTGTCCGCAAAGGTTTAAATCCGTGCCGTCAATACGGGCTTTGCTTGCTAAGATATTGTTTAAAACTGTTCAAATGATATGAAGTGTGAAGCTTCCTTTGAGCCATTCTCTATTTATCTATTTATCTATTTATCTATTTATCTATTTATCTATTTATTAAGCCTGGTTCACACTAGCGACATAACGACATCGACATAACGACATAAGGAAAAGATCAGTTTTATCTTTATGTCGTTATGTTCATGCTGTTATGTTGCTAATATGTCATTATGTCTACATGTTCACACTACAAACATAACGTCCTCTTTAGGTCGAGATAACGTCATTTTTATGTCGTTCGTGACGATGTCGTTATGTCGTTATGTCGCTAGTGTGAACCAGGCTTTAGACTGCTGGCAGTCGTCAGACAGGTATTTATACGCAATAGTGTGGTGCTGTGGCTTTAAAATTATTGAGATACACTGTTTAGAAACGAGAGAACGGCTCCATGTGTTAAGATAATTTATATACAGATTACATCTATTGAATGAAGTTGACGAAACTGCTTTTGACTCCAGATCACGATTGATTGCTTTGCATGAGAGTGGCCCGCCACTGAGACGCCCCTCCCCCCCCAGGCGCGCGCAGTTTATGCGTGTCCTCCACCCCTTTCCCTTTTATCTCTTTTCCATCGTTATGCAATTTGCAGTGAACAGATTGAATAAACTATCCCCACGAATGGGAGTATATAATTTTGCCCGGATTTTAACATCATTCACAACCTGTTTTATTAGATTTGTTCTGATTATTAGTCTTGCCATCTATTAGGCAAACCTTGCAGGCATAAAATAAAAATAACTACGCACTGCTTTGTTGCGTGAATAAAAGCTTAGCTGTTACAACGTTAGTCACGAGTTGGAGAACAGATCGTATGATCGATTGCCTAACAAAATAATTAACTTAGAATGGAAATTTTTCCAAGTCAGGTGGAGGCGATGACGTAAATCGCAAATCAGTTGAACATTGTTTTAATTGTTTTTCTGCGCCGCGTGACGAGAGTTTATTTTCACTACCCGTCAAAACAACGATAATCTTACAGAAAAAAATAGTCAAAAATAAATTTGCCTGTCCTCGTGGTTATCGCCCGAGGGTACATGTATTATGTTCAATAACAAATTCTGTTGGTTTCCTCAGTAAGGGGGCAGTGAGGTTCCCTTGTAACACAATGACATGTGATTCATAGATTCCCTTATCTTTCCAAAATGTTCATTATTGTGTTACGAGAAGTAAAGAAGGTACGTAAGGTCTTTTGCAGGTCAAATCCACTGGTTTTCCAAGCTAATAAGAGAAAATAATGTGTATAGCGTCTTAGACACTTCTTAGACAAAGTAGCTCACCTCCCCTGTGGAGCACTCTTGTTCATCATATGACTATGCACGTGACATTGTGATGATAAAAGCCGCGTATATAAAATTTCATTACAGCACTCGGTTAGAAATGTTCGTAGAGGGAAGGTGAAAGAGTCTGAGGCACTAGACTTATCAATTTGAAACAACAATACAACCTTCTTGCGATCAGAGCAGAAACTGCTTGGCGTTCTAAACGAGTTTGCCAGCTAAAGAGCTATCTCTTGTTTTCGTGACAGGTACTACGTCGGCTAGTGGTTTCTTACTATAACTAAGATTGCAGTTCTTTCAACTTTTTTTAGTCATGGACCAGTGTACTGAAGTGAAGCCGAAGCTGACCTGGAGAACTCGAATATGCTACGGAGTTGGTCATATTCTTAACGACCTTTGTGCCTCTATGTGGTTTACATACTTTCTTGTCTACCTTCACAAGGTCGTCGAGTTTTCGAACGTGGCCGCAGGAACTCTGTTGTTGATCGGACAAGTCGCCGATGCTCTGGCCACCCCGTTTGTTGGAGTGGAGTCCGATAAAACTGGCGATTGTAATTACGGCCGGAGAAAAGTGTGGCATCTTGTCGGAGTTCTGTGTGTTGCTGGTTCGTTTCCGTTCGTTTTCAACCTCTGTATCAACTGCGAAGGTGCTTCCTCTTGGGCCTTATTCATGTACTATGTTCCCTTTATTGTGATCTTCCAGTTTGGCTGGGCTTCCACGCAGATCTCTCATTTAAGCTTGATTCCAGAGCTGACGGATAACGAGAACGAAAAAGTCACTTTGAATGCCATTAGGTAAGTCAACCAAATCATAATTATCGATGGAGTTGCACTTTTTTACCAAAAATAAATAAGCTTTTATGTAAAGTTACTTCGTCAGTTTATTTTGTCATAATTTCTGTCGTGTCAGCTGGTGCCAACTGCCGGCCATGCTGAAAGCATATTATGTAATGGGTAACGCACTACGGTCTGCCGTCTGCTATAGCAAGCTTTTGACCCCTTTTCAGCGAAGCAGGTCAAGCTCAAACGTCACATTGCACAATGGTGTCCGATCGTTTTGATACAAAGTCGTTTTCGTTACAGGTCGAAGTCGATATCTAATTAACAAATCGAATGTGGTTTATCGTGGTCTGTACTCTTATCGACAACGATACGCGTCATGCGCCTCGTGAGTCCACAACAAATTTTGATCACTGTGATGATGGGTATCGTTGTCAATAAGAGTACAGACATGCTAAACCACATTCAATTTGTTTGTACCACAATATTAACGTCAAAGAAAATGTTTTTTCAGAGCGTGAGCTGAAAAAGGAATTGCGTAACACACTGATGCGAGCAGCGTTGTTTGGACTCTTATCAACAACGCCAAATGAGCCAATCAGATTGCGATTAGTAGCAATTGTGGTAAAAAGTCGATTTGATACAAACTGAAGTCAATTCGATACAAAACTTTAAGATACCCGGCAGTCTGAAATTATTATAGAATTTCCATGTTTTGAATTGCCAAGCAATACTAAATGTTTTTGTTTTGTAGTGGATGATTTGCTCCACCGTGGGGCTCGTTTTAGACAAGACGTTCAGTGTATTCAGAGGGAAAATTTCCAAGAGACCTCCAGACAAACATGGTTTTTCTCCTTTTAGGATTACATTCTTTCAATCGATCACTGTTGTATGCAATGCAAAGATGAAAATACTTTCATTTCAAGGGATATTTCTTCTCGTTTAATTTTGTTACGAAAAAAACTTCACTTTGTATCAAATTGACTTCAGATTGTATCAAATTGACTTTAGAGTAAACAAGTTGTTTTCTTTTTTTTTTCGTCATGGTATTTTCTAAGGCCCCGTCCACACGTATCTGGATATTTTTGAATTCACAACTTTTTCTTTCTGGATACGGCTTCCGTCCACACGTGCGAATTCAGCATCGAATCCGGATATTTTTGAATCCGCTTTCCAGAGTGGAAAAAAATAAATCTACAACAAATCCAATAACGTGTAAAGGGTGAATCCCAATATCTTTGAATCCGATGACGTAGCAAAATTGTTCCATGTTTTCTGTCGTTTGTGTAAAAATTTTCCAGTAGATAGATTTTTTTAAAATTTTCACTGCAGTCAGATAATGAGTTACTTGTGACAGAAAAGCAAAAAATATTGGGGGTCACCAACTTCGTTTCAGAGATGAAGCGTGTGGAAAACTACCCTGATTTTGAAAAATTGGCGCACACAATTCGGCAGGGGTTTGTAGTTAAAAATACTGAAGGTGAGTCAATGGAGGCAAACAATCTTAGTTATATTTAGTAGAAGTGGGTCTGTTGCGTAAATAATTCCAAATGTTGCCAATGTTTTCACAAAACTTAAGCCTTCAAGAGGCATTTGAAACCGCCACACAGATAAACGAAGAGCTAAAAATAACGATATTCGAATGTGCATTATGCTAAAAATGCAAACTTCTAATTGACACATTTTCTTAATTTTTTTCTATCAAAAGAAAAGTAGGGGTCACCGAACGTCCAAGATCGTTAAATCCAGGCAAAGCTATAGCAATGGCCATCTCCCCTATCATTGTTGATTTTATTACTTAGTGTGCACTCTCATGCATGATGTGGTGTGTGAATTTGCTTGCGCAGTAAAGATGAGCAGAAACAATTAAATATTAATTGCTGAATTCCTGAGTGCTCTATTTGAAGTCCATCACGTTAAACATGAGGGGCTGTAGTTGGCCAAAGGATGATTATTTTGTTGTTCCTCTGAGACAAAAAAAGCAGAAAGTTATGGGAACTAAAATTGTCTAAAATCAAAAGGAAGTTTGTAACTTGGCTTGAAAGCAAATCTGAATTGAATTTGTCAGTTTCCAAGCCAACTGCCAGTCAATATTGGAATGCTGCACCACAGCATTGTAAAATTTACATCTAAACGAACATCTAGTTTGATGTAAACACATGGATATGTATGGTGGCCCAGCATTATCATAGGAAAATTACATTGATATACATACTATATTGTCAGAAAACTAGGTGACATAAAATAGAAATAACAAAGAAGTAAAAAAAATGAGCAATAACAAAAAATAACATATAAATTAAATTAATATTAACTAGAAATGTGAGAAAAATAAAAGTAAAATGAAAGTAAAAAAGATTAAAAAATAAAAATAAATTAAAAGTAAAAGTAAAATAAAATACATGCAATAAGAATGACATTGAAAATCACATCAAAACATTTGGTTTTCATTTTCGTAGAAAAATCCTTTTGCTTTTCCACCAAAAGTTTGCGCTTTGCTGCATGTCCATTTTCTTTCACGTTAAGATGAAACAACCGCGTTTAGATCAAACTCAAGTGTTGTGTTTCTGAAATTCCTTTTCAAAATCTGTTTGAAGCAGGAAACCAACGTAAAGCAGGCATGCTCAGTCAATCAGCTTCAAGTAATCATGCCCTCTTGATTACCAAAAGTGCCCTTGTGATTAAGAAAAAATGCCCTCTGTCTCAGCCAATCAGCATTCAGTAATTTTGCTCCGTATGTGATAAAAGCAGAAAGCAGTGGCTTTGAGACTTTTATTAGTCATCTTCAGCATGTTACATCTACGTTTATATTTATACGGTATTTATTGTTTGAAGCTTCTGTTTTTTTGTCTTATCGATTGGAGTATGTTAGTATGGTCAGGTGGCTAGCATCTGACCAAAGGCACACTGGTGCGACCATACATGATTTTTAGGCATACAGCCAAACATCTAGTCACATATGTGACCAGTTGGTCATTAACTTTGAGCCCTGTGGGGGCACATTTGATAGTTTAGTAAACCATATTTTTGTTTGGTTCTTCAGATATGCTGCTACAGTCTCATCAAACATTTTTGTATTCTTGGTAACTTGGCTTCTTCTAAGTACAGAAGGCAGAGGATCAGAAAAACTTACTCCTTCTGACTCCACAGCTTTTATGGTCAGTGCTAAGAATTTTCTTCCTAATTTCTCCAATAACCAATAGTTTTCATTTGTTATATTTTAAATGTGGAACCTGATCTGTTCCATAAAATTATTTTGATGATTTCCGCAGAACATTTGAGCCATAATGGCAAAAATAAAGTTACCAAAAGAAAACCTCATAGCATGGTACCATAATATTTTCAATAAAGGTAAGAAGAACTTATCGAGACTTAAGCTCTTAAGCTAACCCCGCGAGAGAAAATTGAACTTGAATTTATCCATATTTCAAAAAACGTACATTTCACGTTAGTTGAAAACACAATAACGCACACATTAAGCATTCTTATGACGTTTGACAATAAATTTCTCGAGAAAGCTTGGGGATTTAATCGTATTGTCACCTAGAGAAATGAATTATAGTGTTTTTTTTTTATATATAGTATTCAAAAACTTACCGCGCTGTGAGTATATTTTTAGTAAATAATTTTTGCACTTATTGCTCAAACTTTGAGCAGAAACCATCTTAAAAGCTGTCGGATGCAAGGATTGTACATTCATTCCAACTATTTCCACTATGGAAATGTTTCCGTAACAAACTTTTGCTAAATGCTAGGGTAATCCCACACATCCTTGTTGATAAAGCCCAAATACCCTCAAGTGTTAAGGATCCTCACTTGTCTATTTAAACACTCCGATTCTGCCTCTTTCTAAGTTTTACAGTCATACTAAGTTATCTTTATAATTGACCCACCCATTCACTCTCCACCGATCGACGTGCAAGCATAACTTGTGAATTGCATAATTTCCTTACCATGTAACCCTCTGGGTAAGCTCAGTCATAACAACCCTATTTTAGCTTCAGCAGAGCAGTGAGTAGAAAATGGTTTTATGATTTATACTCCATCCAATGACACAATACCAACTATTAGTAACCAAGAGTATTAATATTACTTGTGTATATCCCATTATGTTCACACACAACATCAATTCTCTATAAAAAGTGAGGACATCTCTGTAAGGTGCAGACGTACAGTATGGCATAGGCTTAAGAGTACTCCCTTAAAGTTGGAAAGTTAACCGTAAATGGAAGCATTTTGTACAATTTGTAATATGTGTTTGACTGTAATTAAAATGTAATAATCCTGGATTGGTGGATTTTAAAGTCAAATTGCTTTTGCAAATCGGTTTTGATACCAATTCAGTCAAATTACACAGTAACGTTATATTTTGTCTCTTTACACCTAGTCTTTTAACTTACCTGTTGCATTTCTTTTTCAGTATGTTGTATTTATTGTGGTGGGTACTGGTCTTCTATTCATGCTCATTTTCCATATTGGATTGAAAGAGCCGCCAAGAAGTTGTACATATTTATTTGCAAGGGAAGGAAGTAAGAGGAGTGCTGGCAACTGGAAACACTGGTTTAAGGAAATCCAGTTCTATCAGGTTTGTGTTAAAAACAAAAACTTAACATCGTATCAAAGAACAGTGAAAACTGTATTAACTATATAAACTCTGGATTTCATATATTCTGTTTCAAAAACTATTGAATGTTATTTCCCTGTCTTGAAATTTTTGCCCATGCAAGGAATTTGTGATTGAGCTAATGAATGTAATGGATGCCAAGTAAAAGAGCAATAATAATATGCAAAAGTAAATGCTGTAATTATCTGATTGGCTGAGGTACTATACACCATCAATGGTTAGTGTGCAGTGACTGGAGATCATCTACAAGATGGAGACATTTTGTTGTGCCTCCAAAGTTACAAACTCATGAAACATGTAGAAATATTACTGGATAATTCAATTCCTGAACAATTCAATTCCTGAGAATAGTGAAATCCTGATTTCATACTTTAAATTAATAATTGTTAATGAACCTTTAGCACACCTGGGTATTTCATAATTTTTAATTATCATTGCAGGTGGCTTTGCTGTACATGTGTACTCGTCTTATTGTTAATATTACACAAGTGTATGTCCCAATGTACACTCTGGAAACACTGTCCCTCAACAAGGTAAATAATTGGTAAAATTCTTTTTATAAAAGTAGTGGAGTGAAAGTCTCTTTCTGTGGAATTTTCATTTCAGAATCATAAGACATGCATGTAGACTATCATATTATCTAGTGTGAACTTTAATTAATTTGATATTAGCCAGGGTGAAGACTGATTAGTCTCCCTAGGCAGTCTGGCAGTTTGATTAGTGGTTGAAACCTTTCTAAGGGTGCGTTCCTTTGGGGTGATCTGGATCTGGATTTGGATCAGTGATCCAAGATCACTCTGGATCATGGTGCATCAAAGGAACCGATGAATCCATGACCAGAGTGGATTCATTGGGTCCTATGCTGCACCATGATCTTGGATCACTGATCCTGATCCAGATCACCCCAAAGGAACGCACCCTAAATGCTGGGGACACACAAGTTTATAAATGTATTATTGATACCTTCAATATCTCGGGGTTTTTTTCCATTTCAGGACACCATTGCCAAAATTCCCTTAGTTATCTACGTCAGCGGTTTCTTGTCGACATTTCTTTCAAAACCATTGAATAATCGCATAGGAAGGAAGGTATGTTCGACACATAATGTGATTTTGTAGTTCTAGTTTGGAAATTTTTTTTTTTATAATTAAGTTGTGAAGGAACAGTGACCTACAGTAATGTATGTGTGAATATAAATATGAAGAACCTTGGAGTCAAGGGCATAAAAGTTGAGATCATAATTTATTAGATCAACTAAAATTTATGTCTTCTTAATTAAGGTGCAATCTTCCAAAAAGCAGATACTATTGTGGGATCATCATGTATTGAATAAAAATGTTTTAATCTTTTGGTTTATATAATTTGATTGGCTCTTCATATTTGCTTGTAGGGAACATTCTTTCTTGGTCTACTTATGATAGCAGGAGTGAGGTGAGCCAGGAGTGACTGAATTGGATTGATAGGATTACTGACAGAATTAGATCATCCTTTTGATAGCTACTTTACATCAAGCAAACACTGGATAGTAACAAAGAAAATGGTCATGCCTCTCATATCCATCAATCTTCACGTATACCATGTTCATTTCTTTACTGACATGATCTAATAAATAGACAAAATAAACATATTAAGTAAATGACAGTATTTAGAGAGGAAGCCATATCAGCCCCAGCAAGTTTTCATGTTGGTCCTTTATCCAGGCTGAATTGATCCTAACAGTGTGTGGAAAGTTGGTCACACTTGAACCTAGTTACACAACAGTCTTCATGAAGCTCCATGGAGTCTAACATAGTTCAGCAGTAGAGCCTACAAATGGTCTGCAGGATGTTATAAGTTCTACTCCTTTTGGGAAACTTGAAAATATATTTCCAAGTAGCTTGACATGTCACTAACTGAAACAGCTAAAATTTCTTTCGTTGGTTCGTGGTTTTTCCTAGCTATCCCCATTCTCCCTCGCCGTTGTTACATTCGCGTCAGACCTTTCATTTGAATATTGACTGTCGCCCCCATTCACACAAAATATGACTGTTTTGCAGTCTAGATTTTTCCCTAAACCTGTTACTGTGTTATATATGAATAATATATGTTTCTGTGTTATTTATTATCACAGCACATGGATGTGGTTCATTCGTAAGCACAACTACAAAGCTACATATGGGGCTGCAGCATTATTAGGTGTCGGTGGTTCAACACTTCTTGTTACAGCTTTGACTATGTTGGCAGATCTTATTGGAGAGAATGTGGTAAGCTGCCTGTCACAGATTTTGAGTTTAAATTCAGGGAAGGCTGGCCCACAGGATTGTACAAAAGAATTTCTCTCCCTCCCTCCCAGGATTCAATTGAGCTTTGCGGTACATGATTGTATGGTCATGTAGATGTCACTCACCTGTAACATTATTTTAATTGGCTTTCGTGCCTTAGATATAAAATTTCTGAAAAAAAGCCTCGTATGTATGTGGAGTAACATATTTTGTTGACTTTGCACGTGTCTTTTTTTTTATTTCTCAGGAAACAGGTGCTTTTGTTTATGGAGCCATGAGTTTCACTGATAAATTATCCAATGGAGTTGCCGTTCAGCTGATTCAGATATTTCATCCATGTAACAAGATAGGAAAGTAAGTATCATAGGAGTCACGACTGCTTGCTTACTTTCTCGTAAGAATTCTCAGGTAAATACAGGCTATGTTATCAGTACAATTTGACAACAAGATTACTTTGTTTCAAATTGTACTTTCCGAGAACAAACTAAACGAAAGAAAGAAAGAAATAGTTACATGTATATTACTCTTTCTTTACTTCTTTTACTGTTCAAGTTGTAACTGAGAACAACTGACTTGTAAATGTGCTATATCTAAAGAGTCTCATTAGAGTCAGTGCATGTGCGGTACAGTTAGCACATGCAATATGAATTATACAGGTCTGTATCGACACCTCCGAGGTTTTCCGCACTTGAACAGGAAAATACAGTTTTCCGTTACAAGCGAACGCATTCTTTGCAAAACTACCGAAGAAACAGTCTCATTAGGCTGTCTTATTTGTTTCAGCTATTCTCTTTGGTAACAAGACCCATGAGAGGTCCAAAGACACTTTGTCTAACGAGTCACCCGGAACCTCCCTAATCATTCCTCATGTATGTCATTGTTTTGTAATACCAGTCAAGACTACATTTATTGTAGTCATAGAAGATTTTCTTGCGTGAACAATATTATGGTTTCTTGTTTTGGTTGTGTGCTTGTCAACGACTTTCCAGTTATGTATTTGATCTGATGATTTACGAGTTTCTGACTTCCTGCAGCGGTCATTTCCTAAATCATACTCTATGACTATACCGTGTATTACGAGCCATCAACTGTCGAAAACTGTCGAAAAACTTCCAGTAGCTTGTTGGTAACTTGTTGGTAACTTGTTGGTGTCCTATTGGCCGACAGTTGGCCGACAGCTGGTTTCGGGAGCTCCTCTTCACAAATACCAATTCTTCAGTCAGGATGTTACTTGCTCAACTGGAGTTCTTCTTGCTTTTGACCGTACCACATATTTCTCCTGACCGGATTAGTTTTTTCAATCCTTTTACAATGGCTAGGAAGGAAAGATCCAGGTGTGATGCTTTTGCAACCTCTGGCAATTCAGCGTCTTTCTAATTGCACCACACTGTAGCTAGTAAATCATTACTACAGTAGGTTATTACCGTCAACATCTTTATCATCTGGTTCATTCTCTGTGATCACTTTTCTTCTGCAGTTTCCTTTGTCTTTGATACCCCGGCTACCCCTCAATACACAGCGTCATATAACTCGGGTCTAATCTATCCTGACCTGCTATCAGGCTTTCCACTTCGGCAAAATTTCTTCAGTTACATCTAAGAAATTCACAAGTTGCCCATATTTACTCTTTGGTGTGTGAAAATCCTGGCTCATTCCACGTTACACCAGCTTTTCATCTTGAGGGTTGAACGCTACAACAACCTACTGGACACACATTGAAATAACATGGCAAATCCTGGTATGCCAACACCCGAAAATCATCCATACTGGTCAACTCAGTTGTGTTTTCTCACAGGAAAATTAGACACGGATCGTTCTGCTTTGGAGCTCTGAAGTTGCTTGTTCGAGATTTCATTGCTAGCTTGTATGATAGAGAAGCGAAAACGGTAATCGAATTTACTTGAAATAAAAGCAAAGTCGAGAGCTTTCAATGTCGTTCATATTTCATGCAACGTTGGTGGCTTCAGAAGCCTACTTCTTTAGGGAGGTGTTGGAGCTCTAAGCCACACCTCTGATAGAAAAGTTATTGTATATTACAGCTGTCAATCTGTCAACTCCATCCAGTCAGTGAATGCCATGGCTGACTGTGATGTAGCCATGTGTTCACCTTCCGAGTTTTGAGAGAGGTTACTTCGCAGCATGATGTCATGCTGACGTGACAACTCTCGAAGGTGCTCGGGAGTACTCGTGCTATTCCTTGACTGGTTAATAAGTGTCGGCCGAGGAAAACCCTCGTCGGACGCGGATTTTCCGAGGGCAGCACTTGTTCCATTGTGTACAGAGGACATGTAACTAAAGCTATTATCTATGTAATAATGATTGCCATGTTGTTGCTGCTTGCTTGCGCCCTGCACCTAACAGCGACACAATGCTGTCCACATCTGACTGCTGGCTTAGTTGCGCGCACGCATGGGAATAATTTATTCATGTTGCATTTGCTATTTCCATTCACTTGTGTGATTCAAGCCATGGACCACAGCACAGTTCTTGGAGTGGAAATACGACAGCTTACCCACAAGGAACCGGACATGGACATCCACACATGTACGGGTTTATACCACCCCATTCCATTGTTAAATTGTTGTCTTTTTGTGTAACTTACATGCGGGCTTACTACACGGCGGTTATGCGAATGCTTTGTAACAATTTCAGCCTTAAAGGAAACCTTTTACAATTATCTTGTCATTCTTTGGATACCGCGTATTTATAGAAGTAGAAAACACTTTTCCGGTGGTGTCGGGTTAGGGTTAGGGAAACGCGAGTGGAAATTTGGGAGAAGCATAGTTAGTTTATAACAGTGGGAACACTAGACGCACGTAAGTGTTTCCACAACATTTTCGACCTTTGCGTTTTGTCAGCCTTGCGAGTGTTTACAGAAATTCGTTGGATTTAGTTCGCTCGTTTAAGGCTCCGTCCACACTACGCCGGAGGAATTTGAAAACGTAGCATTATTTCTCCAGTTAGGCCTACCGTCCACGCTAATCCGTCACGATACGGAGCTTTTCGAAAACGCTCTTCAAACCGAAGTAATTTAGAAACGCCGGCTTTCCGTTTTATTCTGGACGGAAAACATTTTTGAAAACGAAGCTTTTCGTAAACGATGATGTTGCGATTATCACGAGACTGCCCTGCCGTGGGTAAACTCAAACACAAATGTAAAATGACGGGTGATTGTTGCTGTTTAAAATTCCACCGACGTAGTGCGAACGGGCCTAGAATGTTGATTTCTCGTCCAATGAGGTGCAAAGCCCAAAGCGTTCGTCATTTAGCTTGCGCCATTTCCCGCGCTTTTTTCCCAGCTACTCAGTTAGAACTGAATGATGTTTACTGATTAGTTGTTTTGATTTCTGTAGAACTTGCTGTTCAGCTTGTGATCTGTACTACAGGGAGATCATGGTGTTTGTTGCTGGTGGAGCCACCATTGTTTCATTTCTGGTTCTCTTGACCATGGTAAAGACAAAAATAGGCGAGTTTAAAGGTAATTGCACTTTTTTTTTTGGCGTACAATGTGTGATGCTTATCTTCATGCAAGGGGGGTTTCAAATATGGTGCGTCCGTCTTTTCTTAGTGAGCCATTGTTCTAAGGTATGGGTCTCCAAAATATACAATCTGAATGCCTATTTAGAAAAGTTACGCACTCTTTAATTGCAAATCATTGATCAGTGCCCCGCCAACCTTAAAATCTCTTACATCAGCTGCTTTGCGAGTGTCAAATGCTCAAAGGGATGATTGACAAGGAAAACAAAAGTGTTGTGGATCGGGAGCTCTTGTCAGAGCTCATGCGATCCCCGATCCATCCCTTTCTGATTAATAAGGTCCGTTCTTATATTCACATGTGGGAGGCGCGGTGGCCTCTTGGTTAGTGCGCTCGTTTCCGGATCGAGCGGTTCGGGTTCGAGCCCTGGCCGGGTATATTGTGTTGTGTTCTTGAGCAAGACACTTTACGCTCATAGTGCCTCTCTCCTCCCAGGTGTGTAAATGGGTACCGGCGAACTTTAATGGTGGGGGTAAACTTGCGATGGACTAGCATCTTATCCAGGGGGGCGGGGAATAAAAATACTCTTAGTCGCTTCATCCTACAGAAACCGCGATAAGCTCCGGCCTGATGAGCCACTTGGCTCATAAGCAGAGTCTACTTAAGTTCACACAGTTCCTAACTAGGTATATCGTCTTCTGTAGACTCTGGAGTACTGGACCCAAATGTTCAAGACAAGCTCCTCTGCCAGAGCACTCTAGGGAGTACAAGCGTGGCAAGATCTATTGGAGCTCCTAAATCTCCGTGCCTCATCTACGAGCCCGCAGCTTCGCCAAAGTACGGGTCAATCCAAGATTCACCGTGCTCGATACAGGAAGATCTTTCAAATTCATGTAGGAAGTCTGAAAAGAAATGCGAGCGGTGACGGCAGGCTGTTACTGCCTCAGAAAATTAAGTGTCTGACTTAAAGACTAAGGTGTCTACCTGGAAGATTTCCGGTGCCCTCCTCAAAGACTGAAGTTGCTTCTCTAAAGACTAAATTTTTCAGCCTTGTACAGAGATATTGAAATGGCTGAAGTAAGACTGGGACCCGCTCCACGTCACTGAGGCTTTCCGGACATGTCCGAATTGTGTTTGGGCGCTGAGACGTGCAAGCTATTCCATTCTGTATCGAATGGGAGAAAGTTAATCCATGACACCAAGAGTATGAAAATTGCTTTTATTACGAACGTTATCAGTTCGATTCAAAAATGGTCCGAGATGGAGTTTTGAGTTGTAATATCGATTTCGAGTTGAAACGTGATACTCCGATTAGATTAATGAGCCCTCTGGCTAGACTGATTAGGGTTAGGGTTGGCTTTCATTTGTAGGTTACGGTAAACCCTTTACATGTATATCGTCATAAAACAGGGGCTGTAAATCAAGGTTTTCACTCCAACTGGAACTCGTGATTTAATCTCAAACTCGAAACTCATCTCGAGCTCATAAATTTAACAACGTGGCAGAAAACAAAAATAAACTGAAAGTTAAATAGCTTAACCTGCAATATTCAAGAAATCAAGTTATTGTCTCGGTCAGGGGTACTGAACTTTCAAAGACAAAAAAAACAATTCAAAGCAACTGTTTCTTACCGAACCAAAATTATACTGTTAAAGACAAGATAAATTTTTAATAGCTAACATTTTTGCCGTTGTGCAAAACCATTATTGAACTGAAAAAGAGGTTTTTCTAAAAAAAAAACTAATATAAATGCCTGTAAAAACTATTTTCCGGATGGAATTTTAGAGGTTAGTAAATTTATATTTAAATGAGAACGATAAAACTATATTTAAGTGGTGATTGGAAAGAGAAGAACTCTTTCATTCTACCACTGAGAAATGATATAAGCAGCAACTCTGTACATCATTGTTTGAAAAGAACACGAATTACATTGCATATATTTACTTTAAACAAGCCAGGAAAAGAGATTGTACGTTTTTATCCAAGGTAAATACCTAACTGTTTTTGAATTTGATGAGAAGCAAGTATAATCGCGTATTCTTTTTGCCCATGGACTGTCCATGTGCTAAGAATACGAAACATGCTTACAGCTTTATAATTAAGTATAATTAAGTTTTTAGGGATAGTTTTGTAATGGATGTGTGCGCTATGTAAATGAACTATTATGATGATGAATGGTTTTGGCTGTTCCCCGGTGTATTATCACTTTTGTAATAGAAACACAATTTAACTATTTCAAGATAACATGCGAAAACGGAATTTTCCTAATACAAAATACGTAAACTACACAGTCAGAATGTTTTTCGTACTTAATGAAAGAGAATTGACGTGGATCGAGAAAGTGATGAAACTTGCGTCGTGTGGGGTTTTTGTCATATTAGCGTTCTTCATGAGTACGGATTTTCCTTTAGACGTTCATTACATTGGGTGTTCACGCGATACTGTGTGACGTTTCGTGACAACTCGAGTAACGGCGAAAGAGACTAAACTGGAAGGTGCGGTTGGTGGAGGTTGTTTTATGTGAAACGACTATTTGTTAGAAATAAATGTTTCAAATGTTTAGTTTTTTTTGTCTTACGATTGGGCTCCAAATTAGTTTTATAAGACAAGGCCATAGGCCGGCTGAGGGAGACGTGGGACTCGAGCACACGTTACAGCCGTGGGGTGCGGGGAAGGGATATGTCCGTTTTAATGACGATTCATCTTCACTTCGCAATAGTTACTTCACTTTCGCCTGGGAGAAAAAGATGGAGTATTTTTACACTGTTCGCACCAAAAGTCTTAAAGCTCAAGGGTAGAAAATCGTGTATACTTCAAACTACTCCAACGCGTATTTTTTTTTTTTTTCTTTTAACCCTGGCCCCAGCAACATAATAAGCCATAATCACTACAAACGAAGCTTCAACGGATAATGCTGGGTTAGGCACCACTGGCAACGGGGGTTGCACCCAAGTAAAGTCAAGTGAAGAGATGTTGATCTTCACTTTAAAATAACATCTTTCATTTCTTCTGCTAAACAAAGATGGAGCAAGTAAATTGCTACTGGCCGCATGCAGCAAACTGACGTGGGAGATTACTTCAAACTAGTTCAACGCAGATTTTTGATTTCGTAACCCAACACTTTCAGTGTGTTTATGGCGACTTACTTGTTCCCTCTGCACTACTGAATTAAAAAGAAATTCAGCTGAGTTGTATCAATCCACGATTTATACTAGGATCTCAAGAATTTCTGATTCGCGGAAGTACGCGAATCGAACGCGCGGATCGCGTTTACGCTTATCATGCGCGCATGGTGCGCGGTCTAGGCTTAGTCTCTCCTGCATTTTAACGGAGACGAGTAATCAGGGCTCGAAAAATGTCTGAATTCCAGCTTGCCGTTTGGGCAAGTAACTCTCAAATTTTGTTTATCAGGGGCATTTCCCCACTTGCACAGGTTTTCAAATTCATTAATAAATCTGATGAGCCCAACTGGAAGTCATTCACTTGCATGTTTGAATGTAATAAACCCGTATGAATTGCTTGTAATCTTCTTAGTTTTGATCACTTTCATGTTCGTGTACGTGCTTGCTATTTCCTGAGCTATGCGCTGGGTATCTTCCAAAATCCTTGAGTTCGACTCCTCGAACGTTAAAGAACGTCTTGCCTAACTCTAAAAAAAATCGTTTTGAAGCGCGTAAAATTAAAAACTATTAGAATACAAAACAATATGGCTTATCCTCCTCAATTTTGAAACTTTTAGAGCTGGTGAGTGCATTATTTTTTCCACATGGGTGGTTGAAAAATATTTTCAGTCGGGTGAAAACGTTTGAATGAAAAACTATTCTCTGCCAAAAGCCCTGAACACTGAAAGTTTTTTTGAAAACTTACTTACTAATCAATTTATTTTTAATAGCATTAATAATACTTTTTATTTTGGGCGGCGGCGCCCAAGTAAGCTTATATTTTTGCCAGAAAACTTGTATCATTTTGCCAAAGATCGACGGGGAGTTAGGGCCTCGTTTTTGCGGTAGAAACATACGGGTTCTTTTCGCGTACAGCTTCTACAGCTGTGATACAAATTATGCCGAGTTTACTTTTATACAGTGAAACTGGCAAATGCTTCCAAAAAATTTGCTGAAATTTTAAGAAACAAACACCGCGTTTCGTGCTGAGCCCAGTTGAGATAACTTGTTCAAGGTTCTTAACCAAACGCAACAGAATTTATAACACCAGTTTGAGTCACAAGCAAGAACATGAATTTGCGTTAGTGTTGATCGGCAAGAACATTCCGCCGCGTTATGTGTGTGGGTCTATTCCGGCTTACAGTGTGATACGATTAACACCTACATTACTCTCAAGTGTTTGTCAAGGGTAAATTTGAAAAAATGGGCTTCTGTTAAATAGGTTCTCCCACGTCAAACTGACGTTGCGCTTTTCTCCTAGTGTAATGCCTACCTAAGAGAATAGGATATCTGAATTGAGTGCAACTTACCTAGAATTCATTATTTCCACGCAAACGATGACTCCTGTGGAATTCAGCGAAGAAGAAACGACGACACTTCGTAAAAACACACGCCTTCAAAACAGCGTATTTTTGAATAAATAATCGTTCTGTTCCTCAAACAAACGATATGAAGAGGAAGACGACAAAATTTTGTACATCATGGCCAAATAAAACGATAGAAATATCCCGCCGATTACGAAATATTGCCATTTTACTTATGAGAGAACGATTGTGTCGCATTCAAATTTGATTTTGCCGCTCAGTGCGCTTTTTTACCGGATGTGACGTCACTTTTTGGTCGATGATCCAAACACAAAAAAGTGCCAGGCGTCACCGAGTGTTCTCCCCTGAGTCGAACACATGCTAGGTAAAAGCTAGGTAATCATTGAGTTATTTTTTTGTAAAAAAAATACCTCTTAGTCGGCGCGTCGGGTATGTTATGGACGGGTCAATGGGTGAGTGAGTGAGTGAGTGAGTGAG